ATAAAATAGAAACACACTGGGAATTATGCTAAAAAAAAAGAAAAAAAAAAGAACTCAACAAAAAATTTTAGAAGAGAAAGAGAAAGATGAGTGAAAAGAAGGCAGAAACAAAAAAAAAAAAAAAAAAACCAAAAAGAAAATAGAATAAGAGGAATCTTTAAATCTAATGATATAGAAGATAGATAGTAGAGTACAAATAGTTGGTTAAACATTAATTAAAAAATATCATAACAGGCCATAGAATCATACTAGTGATTTACCCAAATTAGACAACAATGACTAATTAGATAATGAAATAAATTCTACTTTGGCAGGTTGCATATAGATACTCTTAGTAACTAGGTGAGCTATATTTTTATTTATAGATACTTAGTATTGGAAATAGTATTAGCAGTAGCATATGTAACTATAATCCTTCTAATAAAATATGACATGATTGCTAAAAAAAAATGATTTTTATGCAATTTTGACTCTAGCTCTAATTTTAATTTTAACTTTACTTATATATATAATATAATTTTATAATTAATATCTTTATATTATATATTATAGAAAGTAAATAATTTATTTAATTTTTTAAAATATAACCAAGTACCATAGTGCACTAACCAAAGTACCCAGTGTGATGCGATTTTTTACATAGTGAAAAATTAAAAATCATGTGTATTACACAATTGTTTACATCACATGCCACATATAAATAATATTTTAAAAAATTGATCTTCATTATTTGTCATGCCAGGTACTTTAGTCAGTACACTATGGTACTTATTAAGCACTTATTATAAGTACTTATTAATTACTTGTTAAATATTTATTAAGTACTTATTATAAATACTTATTAAACAAATTTCAACATACCGATGGTTTAAATGGGCACTCCCCTAGTTGGGGTGCAGGTACGGCAAATAGTGTAGAACCTTCAGGCGGACTACTTAAATTAGGCACTCAAAAGGTGCACGTGTGGCTTGATGTACCATCATTGTAATTGCGTATAAAACACCGTTTTAAATCCTAATAAAAGCTTTCAGGCCAAAGAGGTCTCCTTAACTTTAAAAAAAAAAAAAACCAAATTTCAACATACCTTACATCTAGTGAGTCTTAGCAAGTACTTACCAAGTACTTTACAAGTGCTTGGTTATACTTCGTGATGTAGTTGTGTTATTCTTTCAAGATTTTCTTGTATTCTCTGACTAAGAATTTATAAAATATATAAAAAAGTTATATGTAATAGTTCAAATTGTAAATTATATAAGATTTTTGAAACTTTTAAATATTTCTACTTAGTATTTCTAACACTAATTACTTAGTAGATTTTTAAGATATAGCAATACTATTAGTTACTAGTAATAAGCTTCTATTAACAATTAAAAAAGTCTTCTTTGCGCGGCATGTCATATGAATCATTCTGTGTTTGTGGATCATAAAAGTTCAATAAATCTAAAACTACAATCGTCTTCCTTTATAACATCACAATGTTATTTTTTAATAAAATCTACATAGCTCTATAAATGTTATATAAAATTTTTATTTAGATTTATAAACCCAATGTAGACTTACGTAGTTGTAATTTTTATGTATGACTTAATATAATATTTATATAAATTTTATTTATCAATTATTATAAAACGCACTTATGGTGTTTTAGCACCTATATATAATTGCTTTTAATAAAATTTAGGGTTAGGGTTAGGAAATTAAGAATTTTTTTTTTATATATAATATAATATAGAGCTAATATAAGGTCCCGATCTCAGTTCTCGTGAGGTTTTTGGGGGTCCTGAACATTTTACTTAGAGAACCCGATCCCGTTTACTTAGTACATTTTTGAGAAACAGGACCTATGGTGTAAAAACACCATAGGTGCGTTTTAGTAAAATCCTTATTTATTATTTATATAAATATAAAAATTATATAAAATTCTATTTATATCTATATAAAAATAAATTAATTTACTTTAGCTATTTCTCAAAAATGACTAAGATAATCAGTGTTCGATATACTAAGTAAAAATGTTCAGCAGGTCTGAAAACACTCTCCAAACCCCTGGTTTAAGCTTTAAAATCTATTTATAGCTTTAATATTTAAGTTGAAATTTTTTTAAAATTTTACATAATTCTACATAGATATATATTTAGATATATATAAATAGCTATGTAAAATCTACATTGGGTTTATAAAGCTACATAAAAATTTTACATAACTCTACATAAAAATTCTACGTAACTCTATATAAAAACAACTTTGTGATGAAACACGCGGTTTGTTTACATAAAAAAGATATGATTATAAAATTTCAATAGTTATGTGATTATATAGAGATTTTAATAAATATATTGCTAATAATTTTTCAAAAAAGTGCTTATAAAGAGGTGTGATTATATAGGAGGTGATTGTAGAGGAGGACGACTGTATAAGATTCGCAGAATTTAAATGAATTAATGATAATTGTACTCATGAATTCAATACGTAGTGTAGTGTACCAAAAAAAAAAAAAGGCACTCATAAAGCTGAATTACAAGATAAATAAATAAATTTTATATTTACGAATTAAATTATAAGAAGTAATTTGTAAGACAAATTTATCCTGAGTCTATATTAAGATTATAAATTTATTTATGATTATGAACTAAATTAACATAATAGAGCAAGATATACAAAACGAATCTTTTAATAATATATTCGTATATAGCTGTAAAGTTTCTGTGATTGCGATTTTTCATATGCCTATGTGGAAAATCAAAGAATCTGAATTAGATTAATCATGATTAATCCGATTAGAGCGGGTGAATTTCCCATGATATGGTCATTTCGAAACAAACTACACTAACCAAGGATAGTAAATACTTCTGGTCAGGTATTCCATTTTATTCCGATAAAATTTTTTAGCCAAACAAAATTTAATTTTATTTATTTAGCCAATAAAATTCCATTTTATTCCATTCTTATCTTAATGGAAATATTTAACGTCTCTAATTTATGCATTTAAACCAAATTGCGAAGAGTGATAAGATATGCAATACGATTACACGGACGGTCTTCACGGAGTAATCATATTACTCAGTGCACCTCAAACCCATTTCAATCACTATAGAATAAACGATTTCACGCCTGGTATGCCAATATATTGTATTTTTTAAAATAAGCATTACTGTCATTTAGTGACGGTTAGATTTAGCATTTTTTAATTAATTTTACAATATAACATCCATTGTAGTGATGCGCAATTTGCGGATTTATCTAATATTCCGCGGAATAGATGGAAGAATCAATTTTCATTTGCATAATACACGGGATGTTAAAGGCAGCCAGTAGTGACGAATGAAAACAGTAGTCATGCGACCTAATCATCATGTGTTAATGTGAAAATCAAATAATAACGAATAAAGCAAGATAATCATTTGATAGCTCTTTATAGTTAGTGTTAGGATGAGAAAAGCTGTATTGTAAATTATTCAGACAGCTCTTTAGGGTTTGACCTTCTGCAGATCATGATGCAACGCGAGAATCGGAGATTCTGTAGATTTTAAGATTTTGCAGATTTCAAATAATATAAATATAATAGGTCAATAGACAACCTAAAATCTCGGAAATATTCACCACAAAATCGTGGGATCACATCTTGCAAAGCGCATTATGGAAGTTTGCAAAAGGTGTAATCTCTGTAGGTCATGATATCATGTGAAAAATCACAGAAAATCGGAAGATTTTGGCAGACTTTTTGATTGTCAGTCGATTTTGAAGATTTCGACTAATATAGACGTTATTGATTGAATAAGATCGATAGGCCATTCAGAATCTTAAAAATTTTTCCCACTATCATCGTTACAAAATCACGGGGTCACACCTTTTTACAAAGTGCTATAATGTCTAGATTTTAAAAATTTTATGAGGAATTTTTTTGGTTAAGACAATCCTTTGTACATGCAATTCACGTGTTCATTATTAACTATCCAATATGGCAACTAACGCTAAAATAGCATTTAACCTTTACTCAGTAATGAAATGTAGATTATGCACTTGATACAATATAGTACAAAGTTTATAAGATAGAAACAATTTGGCTGTTTTGTTGATTTTTTTCAATCGATCAATGCCCTTTTTATCTGGTGCTAATGAACTGAATGAATCTTCATAATTGTTTAGTTGAAATACATATGTTATTGTAAAGAATTTAAACATCATAGTATTTTATTAGTTTGCTTCTTTTATTATATTCATGACATACATTTCAATCCGATGTTAAATTGGACTCCTGATGCAGAGCAAATAGGGTGGTGCGCATTTCGGCGAAAATAACTTTACTGACAGCTTAGTTCATCGACAATTAACTTACCGACAAGTTCATTTCGCCGACAATTATTTCACTGATAGCTCATTTCACCAACTAAGTAATCCTGGTTAGAGATTGTACCCGGGTAAACACTTCTATTATATGGCTATAATAAATTACCCGGATAACCGGGTAATTTAATAATACCCGGGTAGAGATTTTCTTGACGAGTACAATCTCTAATTCTGGTCATTTTTGTTAGTGTCAGGTTAGAATTAGAGTTTAGGTTAGTGTAATTTACTTGTCGGCGAAATGAGCTGTCAATGAGATAATTGTCGATGAAATGAACTTGTCGGTGAGTTAATTGTTGTGAATTAATTGTCGGTGAAATAACACGTATCCGTGCAAATATAAAAACTGCGCCACAAACGGACGCGTCAAAGAATTTAATATATAGATAATACTCATAAATTATTGATTTTCTGTTTAGTACTTTATACTTAAAAACATAAAAGTTTTTAGTTACATAAAACCAGTTAGCCATGCTGGCAGCCTAGTATGAAAGGCCTTCATTAAAGTTTCCAAAAAACCAGGTTTATTTAAAATTATTCAAATTACATGAAAAAATGAAGCTTGCATTTCGAATAATAAATGGTTTATTGTGTTTCTGAAAATTTTATTTTTTTTAGCAACAACCTACTTTTGATTACATTGACTATCGAATTCATCAATTAATTTTTGATAATCGCTTTGGGATACCCATATAGTCTGGCACATAAGTAGCAGATTCAAAATTTTGCTAATACCTAAAAATAAATGTGATTAAAAAAACCCAAGTTCATATTTAAACCATATGTAAAAATGGTAAACCTTACATATTCACCATATCTTCCTGCTTAACCGCCATCGATATACTTAATTTCTTGTCTTCGATATTAGTTAATTCATTAATTGATTTAAGACATTTAGATATTTCTAAAAATATCGTGGAATCTAATCCATTTTCCTTTAACTTGCTTGAATTACAAATATTATAAAATGCGTGATTTATAAATTCATTTTATTTATCAGTGGTGAGCACCTTTATTAGAATTGGAATTGGACTTGTAAGTTAATTTGAATTCATAAGCCAAACGTTTCAATTTATAAGTCTAGTAGAACTAAGTTGGACTTTTTCATAGAATTTACTAGGATTTTAAGATCAACATCCATCATATTTCGCTACACGTACTAATTCATGGATTACATTTATGTATTGTTGTTTAGTGAGCGCTGGCCACATCGTAGACATATGAACATAATCAAATGTTTCGTCAGGAAATAGGACTTCGCTCAATATGTTATGCTCTAAAAATCATATATTTGGAGGATGTTCATTTACTGATGGAAATCCACTTGATTGATGCCTATACCAATAAATGTTGAATTTGGGAAGTTGTGCCCTAAATCAAGAACCCAACAACCTGCTCCACACTTTATAAGTAAATAAAACATAGCATTACTAATATACCAGTTAAGGATGCTCGCAACAAATAGCTTAGAGCTTGTAGTATTACGTACCCAGCGTAGAGAACGTTAGCTTTATCTTTCATAATTTGCTTGTTTTATTTATTGGGATTAAGCATTTTATTATAAATTTTTTTTTTAAAAAAAAAAGATCTACCAATTAACATAGTAAAAAAAACTATAATCATTATTATAATTAGAGCGAAGGGTTGCTATAAGATAACCACTGCATTTATCGTTATAGAAAATTAGTTACATAATCCTCTGATCACTGTGCCAAGATCAGGGGGATTACAGCAGTTTTCAAAAAGATGTGAACGATCGCAGATCACCATCCCATTGGGAATTCACGATATTTCCTGGATTTCCGGAGTTTTCAAGACCCGCTCTAATCGGGAAGTTTAATTTTTACTAATCTGAAAACGACTGTAATGAATAATATCCTGATCCCTATATGAATAGTTGGAAACTTCGTTTCCCCAATCCCAATGGATCAGGACATTATTATTACTAATACAGTCGTCCTCCTCTACAGTCACCTCCTATATAATCACACCTTCTTTACGAGCACTATTTTTTGAAAAATTATTGGCAATATATTTATTTATATAATCACGTTACTGTTAAGGTTTTATAATCACATCTTTTTTATGTAAAACAAACATCGTGATTATAGAGGACGACTGCAATTGTTAATAATATTTTCATTATTGGTTTAATTCTAAAGATTTTCTTTTTTTACGTAGATATAATAATGGAAATGCACAGCTTATTGGGGTGTACATTCTAACTACATAATGCATTTTTATAGAGTACTGTAGATCATAACGTTAAAACTGCAATCAGCAAACCTACACAATATTTATAATATTTGTTAAATGTGCTTTTTAAAGTAATAACGCTCTTTTTTATTTTTATTGCCTGATATAGTGAAAGACTCGTTTTTGATATAACGTTAATAAAAGCGTAGCTATTGATATTGTGACATAATATGCACAGAAAATTAAAAATTACGCTTTTGATTAATAATATATAAAAAAACAAGAACTTTGTATCACATTGAGCCCCCGCTACATTCCAGCCAATAAAAATAAAAAAAGTGGTATTACTTTAAAAGCACGTTTATAACGAACCCGGCAAATATAATTTTGTTTGTGTGTCTACAGTACTCTAAAAATATTGATTAATGATCATTTTTATATGACCTACACTATGCTTGTAATTAGACTGATTGGTGCACCCCAACGGTTTATCGTTATTAAGTCAAGTTTACAAAAAGTCAACAGATCGAAAAGGCAACGTGAGCAGTGATACGCTTGCGCTTTCACGTGTGCCGCAGGAGCACCAACTGGGTGGGAAACTGGATTGCAACAACTGATCGGCAAGGAGGATTTTTGAAGCCTGTTTGCAACAATGCTAACAAAAATTGCATTGAGGTGAGTATGATTCATTGTATCGCCTGTTTCAGAATCCAAGTCACAATTAGGTAAACATGATAGTAATAAAAGAAACGGAACTGGAGAGCAGAAGCCCCCCACCTGCGTTCTGAGAACTACGGCCAGCCTGCTTTATGCAGGTGGGAAACCATCGGCATCAATTTTAATTATAGATCGATAGCACAAATGTATGCTGCTCGTATAAGTAAAGCATTTCTAATAAATTTAATGTCCAGCCATATTTGGCGGTGTGGATCCAATAAATATATCACGTGCATGTAGCTCTTTTCGATAAACTTATTAGTATTGTGTTACATAATACGTATACGTATATTAGTGGTGTCACCCAAAACCTGATGGTTTCGTATCCCGGAGTTTGCCATAATAGAGTCTCAAATAGCAATTATATTTGCCGCTGTTATGCTCAATTTTTAGTATACATCGTTATTTTATGAAATTCTTATTTTGGTGTAGTTTGTGACACGGTTGGGTGATTAAAACTCCAATCGAGAGATTGAAGCTCAAGCGGGTGATTAAAACTCCAATCGATAGATTGAAGCTCTAAGCGAGTGATTAAAACTCCAATCAAGAGATTCAAGCTCCAAGCGAGGGATTAAAATCCCATACGAATTAAAGATATATAAGGGTGTGATTTCAGTCTGCGAAGGGAATAGTGGTTGTTAGAATGATTGTTAATAGCATTTAGTATTATTGTAATAATCCGATGTATTGGTTTATTTTTAATAAAGAGACACCCTATAACTTGTAATTATATGTTAGTTTATCGATTTAAACCCTTTGACCTTAATCACTATTGTTCACGATCGAAGCCAAATTGGCTCAGGACCCTATAAATCTCTCCCACGGTCGTAACACTGCCATATGAAAGTTAATATATTGTACCGTATCCGTGGATACATCACTTGTATATATATCATTATCGGAGTTTCTAAATTTGTATCATTTTGCAATTAATGATTTGTTAGATAACTCGTGAGCAGCACTCTTTTATCCAAAAATTTTTGTATATACATACGTACCTGTACTTACGTTTCGTACTGGATGTACGTTATGTAATAATTCTAGCGTAGTTTCCCAAAACTTTTTATCGATTTCATGTTATATGGTATTTATAGAAAAAGAAAAGTGGAGCTTTGCACTCTTTAAAATAAATACTTATAAATTATTTGTATAATTTGCATTTTTTAAAACAAATATACAGTCAGACCTTCCTAATGCAATCTCAAGCTCTGGTCCAAACATATTTCTACCCCATAAATGCAATTTTTCTTATTGCTCTCTAAATGCATGCTATCAAAAAGTTAGTCCCAACGAGTTGCACTTAGGGAGATCTAACTGTATTTAAAATGCTATGTGTGAGTTTTAACTAGTGATGCAATACAGTAATGCTCCACGAAATCAAATTAAAATTTGATTTAATTTGATATTTAATTTTCAATTTTTTTTTAATCTCTTTTTAAATTCCCTTAAATCAATGCGTGAATCATAAGATATTGGTCATACTATGAATAAATGTCCTATTATTTTTAGCGTGAGAAATTTTTGTCACGATATTTTGCATAAATGATGAAATCATTTTATGACAAAAATATAAAACAAAATGAACGATAACTTAGCTTATTTCAATCTCAATCTAAGCTGAACTTATTATAAGTTTGATATTTTCTGCTGGAGATGGTGATCGGTCAAGTGATGTGAAAATTATAACGATAAACTTTTTAAATTTCATGCGCATGATTTCGGGATATACCGAAAATTCCGAGATCTCCGAATTATTCCTATGTGCATGATCACAATGATCGATTATGCCACATAATGAATTAATAATACTCGGCAAGATTCTTAATACCTTTTTATCATGTAATTAATTCAATGCTATTATATTTGCCCATAATTAATAAGATAGCGCTATGCTGTTGCGTTATAAACCAGGAACGGATACGTGGATAAATTATATTCAAGTTATAAAAGCTTAAAATTTGACAGTTTATAATTTACTAGATTAATGAAACGTTAATTATGAACAAATAAATATCACAATAATCGACAAACCTTATCGTATATGCATATTCATATTATTACTGACTTATGTCATTAATTTTGCGCAAATCTTAACGTTAAAATAATTTACGTTATGCTATAATTAGGAATTGGAACCGTTTAATCGCATAAAAAAATTTTTAGTGCCGGGCCGAATTATGTTTATCACGGGCCAGGATAATTTTAATGCCGGCTGAATTAAACGGCTAATACGGCTAAACGATTAAACGGTTAAGAAAATTTTAGACAGTTCCAATCCCTAGCTATAATGCCATATCCATAATGATATATCGATGTTGCAATAATGCATTATTAAATTTACATTTATTGATTTGATTAGTTAATACCCTTCAAATCAGTTTATTATCTTAGTAGCGGGCCGGGCCGGGCCGAGAGCTATATAAAAATTGGTGATAATTTGTAATTTCTATTTCTATTTAAAATTAGTCTTACATGCTAATTGATAATTCTTCTATTTTCATTAAAGAGAGAGTAAATATACAATTCTTAAAAAATAAATAAAAAATTCAATATTTGGTAACATCATGTAATTATCGCGGATGATGCTGAAATTCACGTGATCACATGATGATCTCCGCTATTATATAGTAAAAATTAAAAAATACTTTTAAACTAGATTTAGTGTCAAGTAAACCCTTTCATGTACTAACAAAAGTTGTTCTTCAGATTGAGACGATTCTAATGATAATAAAATTATCAAAAAAGACCCTCTAGATCGTCTGCGATAGTTCTTCAAAGTTTTAAAACGTTTGTTTACATTTGTTTACATAATTTACAAGTTATACTATAATTCTGTAATTAGAATCGTCTCAATCTAAAGAACAATTTTGTTAGTACATGAAGTAGGTTTACTTAACACTAAATCTAGTTATAATCTAATTTTTATTTTTTGCTATATAATAGCGGAGATCAGGGACACGAAAATTTTTCGAAAGCAATTTTTCAAAAGAAATCAAAATTTTTTGCCAAAATCGAAAATTTTCACAATTTTTTGCACAAAGTTACATATAAAATAAATCACATGAAAATGATATTATTGGCTCAAGACAAATATTATCATGTGATTTACATTCACAGTAAGCCCGGAATTCGAAATAAAACGTGATTTTCCTAATTCCAGCTAGTATTGCTTGCTGCAAATACTGCTTGCGACCTTTTTGAGCTGTAATAGGTAGTTGCGACATTTTTAAATTTTATATATAAAAAGTATAAATTGTTGCAAATAAAAAACATGTCATAATGTCGCAATATCGCAAATGTCGTGATGTCGCAATACATTATAATGCCGCAATACATTATAATGCTATGATATAATATCATGATGTCACAATATAATGTTATACAATATCGATATAATATAATGTTATAATGTTGCAATATTAATTGTATAATGTTATAATATGATATAATTAAATTTTAAAATATACATACGTATATATATTTATCCGGCAAACTCATATGATCATGAAAAATTTTCTTTTTGTTATTTTTTCATGTGTTACTATGTAATTATGTTTATTCCAGTATTCAAAATTAAAACACAGCGAGCGACTCCCTACCAATCATGATCATAAATTGCCGGATAACACCAATATCGATATTGGGCAAATTGTCGAATACGGTAATTTGGCAAATGAGCACGTGCCGCAAAGCGGCAATGTAGCCAATCATTTGCCAAATTACCGTTATTCGCCCGCCCAATATTGTATACATATTATATATATATATAACGGCATTATTAATTTTGTTCTTGTTTAATTAAAAGAAATTAACAATGATGGATAAAAATTTGAACGGAAAAATACCAAGTTGATAATGGTAGTGATTCTGATGGTGATAGCATGAACGTCAATTTATGGGTATTTGGAAAGAAATTGAATTAGTATATTATTTACTTAGAATATGACTACTCAGTGACTTTGCGATTATATGATTTCAATTTTTTTGCATCTAATTTTGACCTTGCGACTCTGAGACTTTACACCTTTTTGTAGAAAAAAGAGTGTTCGCAAAGGTCGCAAAGGCTGCGACATTGCAGCAGGCATCTCTAATTCCAGCCAGAGTCACTGACTTGAAGCTTAATTCTAGCCAAATCGAAATAAATCGAAATTTTTGCCTAAATTGATCGAAATTTTTCGCCTTAAATCGAAATAAGTCCCTGGCGGAGATCATCATATGATCACGTGAATTTCGGCATCTAATTATTAGTTAATTGAAACTGGATGGCAAAGCCACCTTCATGTGCAATTGTCTAGTTAACATAATAATAATTCACTATATAGTATATTATATTCTTAAATAAGCATATTTATTGAATTTTATTGTTCAGTACTTTATATAAAATCAATAAGTTTATAACATAAAATCAAAAAGTTTATAACATAAAATCTAAATTTTATAACATAAAATCAAAATTTTTATAACATAAAATCAAAAAGTTTATAACATAAATCTAAAATTTTATAACATAAAATCAAAAGGTTTATAACATAAAATATAAAATTTTATAACATAAAATCAAAAGTTTATAACATAAAATCAAAATTTTTATAACATAAAATCAAATAGTCAAGTTTTTATAACAAATTTAGTACAAAAAACTTTCATAAAGCTTTCAATGAAATGAAATTACAGTCAAACCTCTCTATAATCACACACTTGGGATACAAAAATGTGTGATTGTAGAGAAGTGTGACAGTTATAGAGGTCAAATTTACTGTATTTAATAATAGTTTGTTTTTTAAAAAATATGTTTATAAAGAAATGTGCTTATATAGGAGGTGACTATAAAGAGGTCTAACTGTATATTTCGAACAATAAAATGTTTCAAAGTGTTACTGAATTTTTACTTTTTTAGCAACAAACCTATATATCTCCATAAAGGATTGATTTTCATTACATTGCTTATCGAATTCATCGATTAATTCATGATAAGCACTTTGAGTTATTTCCATATAGTTTGGCATATAAGTAGCAGATTCAAAAAGTTGCTTAACAGCTTCTAATGCCTAAAAATAATTATGATTAAAAAAAACCAAGTCCATATCTAAACTATATGCAAGTAAATGCTAAAACTTACATATTCATTATATCTTCCTGCCCATCCGCCCATCGATATACATAATTTTTTTTGTTCGATATTAGTTAATTCACTGATTGATTTAAGGCATTTAGATATCTCTAAAAATATCATGGGATCAAATCCATTTTCCTTTACCTTTGCATGAACTACAAATATAATGTAATTAATTTTTAAAATAATTAATTATGAAATTCATTATATTTATCAGTGCTGGGCACCTTTATAAATCTAGTACCGTAACTTGAATTGGAATTGAACTTGTAAGTTCCAATTTGAATCTATAATGTTCCAGTTTGCAACACTGATATTTATGTATATTAAACTTACAAGAATCCTGAACGGCTTTCATAGAATTTCCTAAATTTTTAAGATCAAGATTCGGTTCGTAAATTTCAATCCACCCATTATATTTCGTTACACGTACTAATTCATGGATTGCATTTATGTATTGTTGTTTAGTAAGCGCCATCCACATCGATGACATATGAACGTAATCAAACGTTTCATCAGGAAATGGAATTCCTCTTAGTAAGTTATGCTCCAGAAATCCAGTATTTTGAGGACGTTCGTTTGCTGACGGAAATCCACTTGATTGAATGTCTATACCGACAAATGTTGAATTTGGAAAATCGTGCCCTAAATCAAGGACCCAACAACCTGCTCCACACCTTATAATTGAAATAAAGATGTTACTAATATATCAATTAAGGATACTCGGAACAATAGCTTCGATTTATAGAGTTACGTACCCAGCATCGAGAACGTTAGCTTTACCATTTTTCAATATTTCTTCAACTGGTGCACTATAATTGCCCTTCCATGAATATCGGGTTAGCACATGAGCAATTTCCATTCGCCGAAGTTCTATTTCATCTGATGGCAGGAGGTAATTTGCTTCATTATTATTTAAAAATTTCCTTCCACCAATTATTTTATACTGGTTCAATAATATTCCGGATACTTCATCTATGTCAAATTCATCATAACTTTTATATTGACTAAAAATTCTTTTACGATTTGTTGGTTTTTCTTCTTCATCGGGATTCATTTGTTTTTTGAAAAAAACTTAATCAATTAAATAGATAATAAATTTTAATTTTTAAGCTTTTTAATTAATTACAGAAAAAAAAGCTACAGTATTTATACTGCAATCATTTACGTACATACGTAAAAGAAAATCAGTTACATAATAATTATTAATTATATATTCAATAATGGTCTAATTCTAAAGATTTTCTTTTGTTACGTAATGCATGAGCCAATAATGCAATATAACGTGGTATGCCTAATACCAGCATAACCGCCCTTAAAAATTTTGAAATGATTGGATAATACATTCTTTTTTCATGTGCTACGTACATCATTATCGGAATATTGTCTAAATTTGTGTAATTTTGCGAGATTTCACATTATATATAAAATAATGTAGCGTCTCCCCATCAGGGACGTGTATATTCTGTGATTTGCTGTGATCGAAGCAAATAGTTAAAAGTATGTGGTTTACTTCGATATCTTCGATTATAGAAAATGCATTTTTCAAATATACATAATATTTATAGTAAATATAATAAAATGTTTTTATTTCAATAGTTCAAAGAAATAAAAAAAAACGCAAGGCTCTTACTAGATAAAATTTAAAATTTATGCTAATTTGTACTTTTATTGTTAATCAACAGTAAATCAAATAATTTGCTGATATCGAAACATAATTTGTTAAATTATATCACAGATTGGCATCATGTGATTTCCAATAATAAAATAAATAGCTATCAAATTTATTAAAGTTGATAATATAATAACTAATATTAGTAATAGTTATAGCAATTGTCAACTATAATTAATAGTAACTATGTTTTGCGTGTGAATCATAACTCTCTTTGCTAGGATAAAGAAATTTTGTTGCAATTTAATACTAGAATGTGTTATTCCATCTACGATCTTTACTATCTACTTACAAAATTTTTATATGTCAGACTAAAAGATAGCTATTATAGTATCAATACAAAGAGCTTTTTATAGTCTCTTTTATACAATTTAATTATTTTAACATAAAACTGTTTAACCTAATTTCTTAAATTTTTAATTTTTGATCAGTTTGAATCTAATGCCTATAGAAATAATTGAATCATTACATACCAATCATAATACATGTATAAAGTAATTTATAATTGTTCGTAATGATAATTAAGACACAGTTAGTGGTATCGTCTGCCGAATCCCAAATTGCTGAAACTTAGCTCGGGATTTACCGTAATAAAGTCCCAAATAGCAATTACACTTGCCGCCATATGAAAGTGACATTAACTCTGATGAAAAAACTTTCTTCATATGACTAATACATTGTAATTGTTAAATATCGGCAAAATCCCAAATCCCTTGCCGTATCCGTAATTTGGTGCCGGCTAGACACAGTATGATAAAAATTGTTAGATTCTATAACTAATACAACTGTGAAATTTATGATTTTTAGGAAATTTTTTAGTGAATATTAAAATTAATTTTATAAATAATAATTATTATTAGAAAGAATACAATTTAAATAATGTTAAAGGTTTAAAAAATTTATAACCATTTAAGAATAGTTAGTCGTTTAAGTTGACTTAGTTAGCCGACTAAATCATATAGCTTAAATCACTACATGACAATGCTACTAAAATTGCATGATCATTTGCTTTCTGAAATGTTTTTGTCAGCCATTTGGGTCATTTAAAATTTATTATGAATTTTAATATATAAAAAGTCATTTCAGGTCATTTAAAGGTCACCTACAACTTTTTTTAGGTAATTACTCATCAAACTATACAAAAATTTTGAATTTAGTTCTGAAATATATTGGTTCACTTAAAAAAAACTGTTTACTGATCTGATTAAGTAGGTCCAAAAAAAATTTTATGAATAACTACAAAAAAGAACGATTTAACATATCACTTTACTGAAAATTTTGGGCATTCTTGGGGACAGTGAAGTTCAATGTTACTGGAAGTATTGATAGAAAGTGTTTCTCTCTGGGACTGATACATAAACAAAAACCACAAATTATAATAAATCTTGAAGTCAAAAACATGTTTATATTTTATGCTTAATTAGCGCTCATTCAGATCTTTTTTAATAAGTTATTAATGTTACGAAAAAAAGAATGCTTTCTTTTTTATGACCATATTAAAGTCCTAAAATTCTAAAATTTAAAGACAATTACAAAGCTTAAAACATAATAATTAAAACTCTAGCCTATAAAACCTGCCATTTTAAATATAATTATCTTCTTTTGTGTAAAAGTTATCTTATACTAAAGACCTAGATATTAAACTCTAAAGACTCTACACAATGATAAAAAAATCACATTTTAACTAAATAATAAACAGTATATATAGTACATATTATAACTTATTTATTATACATTCATTAGTAATATATGTATTTAAATATATTAACTAAAAATAGATTAAACTACACATATTGCCTAGTAAATATATAGTAAATAAGCTATAATTTGTACTATATATTACTGGTTAATATTTAGTTAAAATGATTTTTAACCAGTGACATTTGATGTTTATTTTCGGGTTATTTCTGATTATTTCTAAATTTGTTTTGGTTGATCTTAAAATTGTGAATTTCGGGTTGTTAATTATTATTTTGGTACATTCTCATGAGCCCCCCACATTGCCCATTTATCCAAAAAGGAAATTGGTTATTCCAACATTTTTATATGAGTGATGCTAAGGGAAAAGGGAACATTCGTTTTTATTGATTATCTATCTGATGATCGACAACACATCGGGCTTTCACTAAGACGAGGTAGTCTATCATAATTGAAAGCCCGATGTATTGTCGATCATCAGATAATCAATAAAAACGAATGTTCCCTTTCCCCTTGGCGTCACTCATATATAGTACTTAAATGTACGTACAGTTATAGTACTGTTCCCAAAAAATTTTTATCGAATTCATGTTGTATTTATTAAAAAAAAAAAAAAAAAGACGTAGGGCTTTGCATTTTTAAGTAAATATTTATGAAATATTGCCTTTTTTTCTTTTTGCCAATAAATAAATCTGTAAAAAAATCGGGCACTGATTCGTCTTACGCAGTGTTAGCATTTGGACATAGTCCAAATGTATATGTCCAATTGAAAAATGATTATGTCCATAATTTATCCATATTATTTTAATTAGTCCAAATGTTAATACTGGTCTTACGGGATTTATCGCTCTTTTTTATTTATGATTTGCATAATTTTTTGTCCTGTGAGTCTTGTGATTACAACAAGGTAAATCACTTCAACTTCGTTATATTTCGTGGGACCTCTCTTTATCGATAAATAAGGTCCACAAAATACGATGAACATAAAATGACTATTATTTGTATTCACAGACTCACGGACTCAAAAAAATACACAGGCCCTGATCCAAACACATTGAAGATAGTTATAACGATAACTGCATTTTTTCTATATTGAATCATGGCACCAATTCTGCAAATTGAGTTTTGATATTGATTCGTGGCACATTTCATTGGGGAGGTCTGTCAACCAAGTAAATCAAAATTTATAAGTGATTACTATGATTAAAGCTTACCCAAATTTTTTGATCAGCATGATTAATAATTATAGTTATTGTGTTGTAGCGAATAACCCAGTTACACACGGGTTCATATTCCGTGCCGAATGCACGGGATTTAATGGATATTCAATTTACCCATACAATAACTATCTTATTACACAGTATCTAATGTAACAATCCCGTGCCAATAAGTAAATGTGTATACAGAACAATGTGGTTATTTAAAATTATTTAAATTAAAAATTAAATCTTAAATAAAAGAAATAATCTAATAACGAAAATTTGAATGAGCTAATTTACTAGTTTATAGAAATTTCTACCTACTCTGTGGCAGCAACAATTTTTTTCGCAAACTGAATATGTTTTTTATATGCTTGCAATTTTAATCTATGTTATAGGTACTGTATAGATCCGAAGGTTGTGAAATGGTATTGTAAATATTTAATATAAACATTATAAAAATATTAATTTCCAACACCAATAAAAAAAGTTTACAAAATTTACGCATCATTAAACCCGAATAATACATTTAAAATGAGACACAAAAGGCCTAGGAATCTCATTATGGCCTTTAATCTCAAAAATACTAGGAATCACACTACCACTTTTAATTAAAACTATAGTGTAAGTGCTCAATAATATAAGCCATAAATCTGCCCAAAATAATAAAAGTGAAATTCTGTTAACTTCTTTTAAAATACTATAAAACAGTATATAATAACCTATTCCGCCTAAAATAGTAGCCAAAACAATAACTATTCTATAATATACAGCTTCATTGAACTGATAACAAATTACTAAACATATTAATAATAGAAATAATAGAAGAATAACTATAAATGGAACATAAATTTTAATGTCAAAACCAGACATAAAAAAAATTACAATCAAATAGGCAAAGATGCCGAAGATTATCATAGAACCGACCCCAACAAATATAGAATCGATAGTTTGTAATGACAATAACTGCCCAGAGTGTAGTGGAGAATTTAATGGAGGAGTATCAAACCAAGTTTTGTGTCTAATTAACTCCGGATGACTAATCTGTCTTATAAATAATCCTATTATCAATGATACTATTCCTGCACTACTGACACTTATTAAAGCTATTGTTGCTTTGCTGAAACCTTCCGTTGCATAAAAAAATATGGGCGGAAAAATTAAACATAAGAATATCAGCAAGATATAGAAGATTACTTTATTTAACCAATATGCGTCGCATTTATGTGTTAGAATTATAAGGATTAAAAGTATAATAGTGACCACAATGTAAGGGATGTACTCTCTTATTTCAAAAAAGGACATATCAGAAATCTGTAATCTTGCTGATACAGCAGAGATGAAGTAAATTAAGAAAAATAATGATAAAAAAGGGGTTTCTGCCATTATGTATTTCTTTAATTTGAAATGAAGTTCCTAATCGATTTCATTTTATAAGTTCCTGTTTGTGTAATGTATGACTTACGATCATTATAGTAAATGTGCAACGATAAGTATGTATGAATTAAGTCAGAATCACAAATAAACGAACTTTCGCCTACTGTATAAGCTATTTATTTAAAACTGCTTTATTAATAATCTAATTGAAATGGAAGGAATGTATGAAAGTTCAGGCTCATCTTTGAATCATGAAAGTAATTTTAAACCATACTTAGAAGATTTAGAGCTTACATTTATTAATCAGGCTGAAGAGTTCATGAAAGATTTCTGCAAATTGGCTAATTTGGTTGAATTTAAGCAATTAGTTGAAGACTTTGAAATAAAATTACCGGAAGATGTATTAGTTAAGGCACTTGAATTACTTAGTGATATCTCCTTTTTTAAATATCACTCTAAAAGCACTATAATACGTTTTGAAGTTCACCTTCGAACTTGGATGACAACTTTAGAAAGATTATACTATTCACCGATTGTTTTGAGTCGTGAAACCCGTGAACAACTTTATAACCGTTTAGGTGACTTTGTTAAGTTTCATCACAATATGACAAATGTTTTTAGGCAAGGTGTTAATAATAGTTTTAAGTCAAAAGCGAAATCAAATGAAATCGCTAATAATAATAATGGTGGTGGTGATGATGATATCTATATGTACTTTCAGAATTACAATATTAACTTTTTATTAATTCATTTACGTGATACTTTACATAGTATGCGTGATGATGAAACATGCTCTGATGAAATTTTACGACGTATTAGAGATTTTCTTTTAACTTTTATACAAATTTCACCTATTGCTGCTAATACTGCATCGGGAAATATTTCAATCGCATTTGGTTTTGCTGAAATTTTTCCAAATATTGCTAAGGTTTTTAATTTCAAATACCCTATCACTTATTGGTATCCGATGTGGCGTGAGCTTTTATCTGTTCATTATTCATTAGAGAATCTGACTAAAGATAAGGACTATAGTAAATTGCGATTTTATAACGAAATTTATCTTCTAGAATTACTTTGGCAATATATTTTTAATTTAAGTATAGATCAAGCAGCTCAAAAAGAAATTTTAAATAATCAAAATGAAATTCTTGAAATTCTAAATTTATGGACAAAAAAAGAACCAACAGCGCCTCCAAATTCTTTATGGTTTGGAATTTAGATCTTGCTCAAAGATTAAGTCAAAAAACGGAACAATTTGTTAGTTTAGCTCTTTGTTACTATTTAGGTTTAGAATTATTGCAAAAATCCAAGTGCAGTTATATTTGCTTTAAATCCTTGGAATTACTTTTAACACTATCTTACAAAAAGCCAGAATTATTTGAAGACATAATACAAGATGATATTGTAAATACAAAGAAACATTATCATTAATTTCTCAACAATATCTTGAGAAAATTATTCATGATGTAGTTCAAAAGCTTCAATTAAATGCTCAATTAAATACTCAATTAACGAAACAATCAAGTTTGGCAAACGTCAAGGAAGGCTCGAAAATTGAAAAAAATGATTTATTAAGTATAATAGCAGCTGAACTTACTTGCCCAATTACTAATAAAATGACTGGAGATTTCTCAATTTTAACATGTGGACATTCTATTAGTAGTTATGCTATTAAAAAATGGAAGGAAGTAACAACCATTGAAAAAAGATTATTTGAATGCCCATTTTGCAAAAATAAAATTGAATTAAAGTCAACCTATAACCTTCCAAAAAATAAAATATTAGAAGGGCTTTATAATAGATTAGAACAAGGAGGTTATTTCGATAAATTACCTGAAGAACGACAAATATCTCCAAAAGAAATTTATACAATAGAAGATAATTTATTTTTAAAATTTAATAAGTATAAAATATTTCGAACTTTTACGTTTTCAAAATTATCCGCACCAATTTTTCAAAAAATTCAACCTAAAGTTATGATGCCAGCTTTTAATAAAGCATTTAAAGCAGAATACCAAGAAGATCATACAGCAGTTATATTGTGGCTAACTCAAGTTTTACAACAGCGTCCAAAAAGCTATTCAACTCGATGTAGGAGAGCGTATGCGTCATATAGACTTAAAATGTATTCAGAAGCTATAGATGATTTAAATCTAGCAATTCAGTTAAAGCCATTAAAAACTTTGGCTTATATTTATAGAAGCTATGTATATAATAAGATTAATCAATTTGAAAAGTCACTTGCAGATTTAAATAAATCGCTAGAGATTGAACCAAATAATGTATTTGCATTAAGAAATCGTGGAGAAACCTATCAACTAATGAGCAAATATGATGAATCACTTGTAAATTGGAATAAATCGTTACATCTTGAACCATATGATATATTTTCATTATGTAGCCGTGGTGTAACTTATCGTACGATTAATAGATACGAAGAAGCACTTGTAGATCTGAATAGATCGTTAAAGATAAACCCAAACTATGTGAGAGCATTAATAAATCGTGGAATAACTTATCGAGTAACAAGCAGATATAAAGAGTCACTTGCAGATTTAAACAAGTCTTTAGAGATTGAATCAAATAATGCTAATGCATTTGCGTTAAGAAATCGTGGAGAAACTTATCGATTAATCGGTAAATATGACGAATCATTTGCAGATTTGAAAAAATCATTAGAGATTGAACAGGATAATATATTTGCAATAAGCTATCGTGGTGCAACATATTACATGGTAGGTGAATATGTGAAATCTCTTGCAGATTTAAATAAATTATTGGATATTTTTCATGATGCATCACAAATTAGTGTTTGGGAATATGAAAATTTACTTAACAACTTTACCATATCATTGACTATTGAGCCAAATGATGCATTTGCATTAAAAGGCCGTGGAGTGATTTATCGCATTTTGGGTAGGCATGAAGAATCACTTGCTGATTTTAATAAATTATTACAAATTAAACCAAACGATATATTTACTGTGGATTTAGCCGATTATTTAGTTTAAATGAAATTATTTCATTTATTGAACAAGTCATGCGCCTGCCCATGCGCTGGGGGTTTGTTTTTAATATTTCTTGTTGAGATTTATTGGTTGACAAGAATGTTCTTTCGTACAAACTAATCGTGCAAAGCATATCGAATAAACATACAGACGAAAATTTAATAATATTAGTAAGGGTGTTCTCAAGCACTTCACTCAATGGATCGGAAGTAAAATTTTAATTAGTAAATGAGTTACCATTTTGATGAAAAATTAAGCGAGACACAAACCACCTTTTTTCTTCAAAAATTTACCATTAATAAAGGTCGTATAAGCTTTATTTTTTACATATTTTATATATTAAATATAATAAGCAATTTATTTTCAAGAAATTTCTAACTGATGTAAAAAGATAGTCACTTTATTTTAAATATTCAAAGCTTTTAAAATGATAAATTAATATAAATACAACAATCTTTTAACATTTAACCAAAACATAATGAATACTGTTTTCCATTTTTCACTTATTTAAATTTTAAATCTTCTCAGTAAAGACCTAAAACTGGAAAGGTTAGGGTAGGGTAGATGTTTTTTCATATTTGATGGATAGTAAAGAAATTTAAATTGTTAAATTCACCAAAAGGAGAAGCCGACATAACTAAAGTTAAAACTTTAACTGTTGATTGTAAAGAAATTTTTTCATTAGGTTTTTTATATTATAAATGAACATGAAAATAGAAAAAGTATGCACAAGCATTTAATTTTATAAATATCATCATCAATTATAGTGTTTGAGCATCATCACGATTATTATCTAATCAATTGATTTAGATACATGAGAACAGTCTAAGTTGATGTTCTAAAAATCTGCAGAAACATATGAGTGTCGCCAAGGGAAAACCTACAAGTTGTACTTTTTGTATATTTACTTTTAATAAAAATATTTTTAAATCAGGCAATCAAAAACCTTTACTTTTAATATCATTTGAATTATCTTAATGAGACGATTCAAATAATATTAAATTGCTTATTTTAATATTCAAAAAGTGTGACTTGTAGGTTTTCTCTTTGGCAATACTCATATGTTGTATGTAATAAAATTTTTACATATAATCAATTATACAGAAATCACTGACTTTGTATGCTCTCAAGCACCTCACTCAATGAATCAGAGGTAAATTTTTTTAATTAAAGTTTTCTCAAGTACATCACTCAATGGATCGAAAGCAAATTTTTAATAGTCAGAAATTGAATTATTTAACCAAGTGAGCTGTTATTTCAATGAACAGGTTAAAGAGATACAAACCATCTTTTTTTTCTTCGAAATTTATCATTGATAAAGGTCACTCAAGTATTACTTTTGAATTTTTTACATGAAAAGCATAGGTACAAATGACCATGTGATTGGACTAATACCGGCATGCCAAAGGTGCCAGAAATAAATTCAATTAAAGAACTTTAAGTTCGCAGAATACATTGTGAGTAATTTGAGCTGCATAATTTGAGCTGAGTGATTTGAGCTGAGTAATTTGAGCTGAGTAATTTGAACTGAAATGATGATATGCTCCCAGAAAAATTAGCAAGTGAGATTGCACTGGGTATCATTGTAATAGTAGAATGAGTAAAAAGCAGCATCAGCTGGTGGTTTCCCACCTGCTTGAAGCAGGCCAGCTGTTAAATAGGAAAATGGCAGAATTAGGAGACTACAATATGTGGTGGGAAGGGTTGGGTCGAGAAAAAAGAGATAGTTATAATGCTTGGTTTGTTGACAGAGGAACAAGTATCACAAGCAAGCAATTTGTCAATTCTTTAAATACTGATTGTGTTCAGTGGCTTTTGGTTATATTACTTAATTTACATGACATTTTGAAGTCTGATGTCTCTTTTGATCCCCAACTTATATAATCAGGTAGGGTTGTAGCACATGGCATATAACCCTGACCATTCTTCCCTGTTTTTTTGATCTGTTGACTCTTGCCAACCTGCATGATAAACAATGAATTTTCAACAAAAAATAAATTATTTTTAATGCTCAAATTTTTTAAAGCAAATAATCAATACCATAAAGTATAGAAAATAAGCACGGCACTTTCTACCTACTTTTTTCAATTTCAAATTAGCAGAAATAGAAATAAAATCTTTCATCAAGTTATTCCCATTAATCTGAAATTGAAAAAGCAGAGGGTGCAGTGCTTATTTTTCATACTTTACAGTATCTTGATATAAACATAATAAATGCAATCTATCTTTTATCCTTTAATCAAATTATAATGAATAATGCTTTTCCTTTTTCATTCACTAAATTCGATAATTTTTTAGCAAAGATGACCCAAAAATTGAAGGATTTAGACTGATGTTTTTCTATATTTAACAAATAATGAAGGTTGTAACTTTTTTCAAAAAATATTTTTATATTACCAATGATACTTTTGGTGTGAAATAATATATGCAGAATTACTATAGATAGCCTATAAAAGAATTTTTAAAAATTTTACTTGTTTTTGCAAAGCAATTTTGGCTAATGACAACTCTATAAGTTGATTCTGTTACTGTTGAAACAAAATTTTATTTCTCAACATAATATATATATCCTTTACATACTGTACATAAAAATAATTTTTAATTGGCAAAGTCATTAATAGGTGAAGCCAGTGTAATTGAGGTTGAAGCTTCAACAGATGTTGAATAAAGAATTTTATTACTGTATTAGGTTTTTAGGAGGCGTAGAGAAGATTATAAAAAATATAAAGATGTATTTAATTCTATATATATCATCATTGATTGTAAGTGCTACCATGATTATTATTTATTTAATTGATTGATTGAGATATTTGAGAATACTCTTAGTCAAAAATCAGCTAAAAAAATCATTTAGCAAATTTAAATGTTTCAGGAATTATGAAATCAGCTGTAAAGTGTAATGGCAAAATGATAAAAAATTTATTAGTTAGTTTTGGCATAAATTGTCTATATTTTTGCCATTCATATATAACTCTAGAACCAAAATTTCAATCAAACAAATTAGGATAATAACAAATTATTTTATTTCAGATTATTTATAAATTGGTTAGGAAATTTTTTTTCTTTTGTTCCCCTTTTAATACTATCATAATATGTGAAAAAATTTGAGCGAAGTGCTGCTATTGCTAGTGCTAACATATAGATATATAGAGATAGATAGAGTATCTTACAATCAGATAAAATTTGTGAAATCATTCAAGTTGACAGAAGTCAACAGATCAAAAAAATAGCTAAGCAAGGATTTAGCTAAAAGTGATCTGGTCAAGCCCAGAAGCATAGCCACTGACCTAATCAGTTGAAGAGATAATCTGATTCCGCGTGAATTAACACATGAAGACAGATAAGTACAAATTATTAGTAATTTCAATTAATTGCCTATTCAGGCAACTGTCCAATTACTAAACAATAGTTCATTGTAAAACATGACATAAGAAGAAGCACGATCTAGAAGATCTGCATATTATCCACAAAAATTAAGTTTCACACCCAAACCCTCCCAACCCATATAGAATCCTGCCATTTTGTGGCAACTTAAAGCTTCAATTCAAGGCCGGCCTGCTTTATGCAGTATAGAAAACCACTGGCTGATGCTACGCATTACAATTTCAGCTGATGATGGCGATACCTGGCACAATTATGTTTGCTATTTCTGGGAGCATATCCCATCTCAGTTTATACATCAATTGCATTGATGTATGCTACAATTTCTCAATAAAAAATTATGCAATAAAGTTTAGGGGAATTTACATATAGGTACCCGGAAAGTGAAAATAATTACAAATAAGTGCCTGAACTAAAAATAATTATATATAAGTGCCTGATATTTAAAAATATTATATATAGGTGCCCAAATTATCGATAGTTAAAAAAATGTAACTATCGTGCTACAAAAGTATGAACTAAAATTATCAAATTGCCGAATGTATTCATTATAAAAGAATAAAGAATAAATAAAGCATTGGTTGTAATTATTTTTGCAATAATATTTATTAAAAAAATTTAAACTTTACATTTGATATAAAAATTAAGCATTTATGCATGTTGCTTCAAACTAAGAACTAATTTTTATTTTTTCAATACATGCCTTCGACTACAAGTAAGCACGTTATGCCCTTTTTTGCCACATTTACCACAGGTAAGTTGGTCTTCCGGTGCAGTCTCTGCATAGCTACATAAATAAATTTTTCATGGTCGTCCTGCTTGTTTGATCATGGCTAAGTAGTTTGTTGGAGTTATTAGTCCTAAACTTATAAGGCGAAGATATTTCAACTGAGTAGTTCTCTAGAGCTGAGTGAATACTTTCCATATCAGAAAATTTCATACCGATTTGCAGAGTTGTATTTGACATCAAAGCAAATGAAATTTATTAAAAAAAGCCTATTTTTTTTCTCATTTATAATTACGTACTAATTTACAATCGATGATTACATTTTTTATGCTATGCTTATTAATGATTTAAAATTATGTGCTAATTTACAATCGATGATTACATTTCTTATGCTATGCTTAATTAATGGCGATCAAGCCACAGGTTTGAGTCATGGTACGTTCTTGGTACCTATATGTAATATTTTTTAAATATCAGGCACTTATATGTAATTATTTTTAGTCCGGGCACTTATTTGTAATTATTTTCACTTTCCAGGTATCTATATATAATTTCTCCTAAAGTTTAATATCTAGCATCATTAGCTAGAGGCATCCAATTTACAATACTTATCATGTGCGTGCAATGCTTTTCAATTAAAGAAAATCAATTACCAAAATAAATACCAATCCAACCAAAATTTCCCAGAAAGGTAGTTTAGTGTAACACCAATGCTAATAATTGCTAATACAGTAATAAATAAAAGAGCTTTATTCAAAAAAAATTGAGGTTTCCCAATTAATTTTAACCTGGGGGAAAATCACCGGAGGTGCTATATCTCAAAAAATATACTAAGTAAATGGGATTGGGTACTCTAAGTAAAAATGTTCAGGGCCCTGAAAACCTCACAAGAACTGAAATCGGGACCTTATATTATATTCAGGGTTGGTCAAATTACTGGTCAACCAAAAATTGGTTGGTCAAACTGGTCTGGTCAAATTGGTCAAGTGGTCTGGTCAAATTGGTCAAATGGCCTAGTCTATTAAATAAATAAATTTAGTATACAAAGTAAATATATATATATAAATTTATATATATATATATACTATATATTTAAATACCCTTTGACCAATTTGATCAATACTAAACCCTTTGACCAACTGGTCAAATTGGTCAAACTGGTCTTGTCAAGCTTGACCATTGACTGGTCTGTGCCAACCCTGATTATATTATATAAAAAAAATAATTCTTAATATCCGCACCCAGTAATTTAACGTAATATCAAACGTTAACTATTGCTTTTAAGCACTAAATATGCAATATTTTATTATTTTATTCATGCATTTTAATAATAATGAATCCTTTTTAATCGTGCATTTTAATAATAATGGATTACTTTTTTGATCGTTATTGTTTGCAACTATAGATATGTATAATTTTATTCGTGCATTTTAGAAAAAATTGGACTTCCTTTTTTAATCGTCATTTGCGATTTTTTTTATATATACAACCGATATTCGGTAAGCGAAAATAACTGCTCATACGCAAGCGCATAGACTATAATCGTTTGAAATTCGTGAAACCCTAAATTACCAAAAAAAGTTTAGTAAAAGAAAATCAATTACCAAAAATAAATGTCACTTCAATAAAAGTTTACCGGAACAGGAATTTTAAGTAGCACCAATCGCCAACAATCTTTTCTAAGCTCTAACTAAATAAAAGTAAAAAAAAAAATTCTTGAAGATGTCTAAGTTGTCCATTCATTATCAGAGCGGTTAACTTAAACGATAAGTTATTTTTTACTAATAAAGATAATATTTTCATATTATAATATTTGTTCGGTATGTGGTGCATGAATAAAATCCGATGGTACTGTGCGCACGTCCTATCAGAAATAACTGACACAACAGAATCACATTAAAACGCAATCCAATCAGATTCATGAATTCGGATAGACCCTTTCACTTGCCATATGACCATGCGCTTCGTTGCACTCCGTTCCTGGTATTATCTATTAGATTTTTGGATATCTAACGGACAAATGAATGAATGGTTTATGAATGGGAACGCTTTAATTAAAAAGAAAAAAAAAACTATGTACGTAAAGCTTTCGCCAAGCAATTTATAGCCGAAATCGAACAACAATACAGATTCATGTTACCCTTACCGTTGGAACATATTAAATATTCAATAGCTCTTGTTTAAACTCTCAAATTTTTATTTTAAGATCTATATCAAAGCTACTCAAATTTGATTAGTTGGTAACGTAAAAATATCACTGGTCGACTTTAATAAATCATTAATAAAGTTTTTGTTGTGTCGTAATTGAATTGTTTAATTGCGAGGGGAAAGTTAACAAAAAAGGGATGAATAACATTAACCAACTAATCAACTTTTGAACGGCCTTAAGTCTAAATTTCGCAAAATTATTCACAAAAAGACGTAAAAACCAAAAATATTTTAAGTGATAACGATATAACTATAAATAATGTACGTGTACATAATTATGTTTATAAAACCGTTGATTTTATTGAAAAATATAAAACATTAATATTTATTGAAGTAAATTGCGTAAATTAAATAGTTAGAAATCTAATTATACATAAAGCTATCTAATTTTATTGTAATAATTAATTGTTATTTTAATTGTTTAATTCTATTTTCGACACGCCTTACATGACTCCAGTAGTTAGGATTTTTTTCTAAAGCCTTTTGATACCAATATAATGACTTCTTTAAATCTATTTTTGTCCCATTACCGTACTCGTAACAATCACCAAGTTCATACTGTGAAGCAGTTAGACCCATTTCGGCCGCTTTTTCAAATGATTTAAACCCTTCTATACTATTAACTTTCGTTCCGTAACCTTTTTGGTAACATATTCCTAATGTATTCATTGCTAGTGCATTTCCTTTATCAGCCGCACTTTTAAGCAAATTAAATGCTTGTTCATATTTATTAAGTTTATAACAATATTCACCAAGCATACATTCCGCGATTGCACATCCAGCTTTACTCGCCTTGGTATACCATTCAATCGCATGCTTCATATTTTTTTTAATGTTCCAACCAGTTTCATAACATCGTCCAACAAAATATTGAGCAATAACATCGTTTAAATTTGCTGCCTTAAGAAATAGATTAAATACATCAACGTTTTCATTTTTGGTACCAATTTCCCAACTATAAAATAATCCAAGTAGACAAATATACTTTGGATTATCGTCATGAATTGATAACCAATAAAAAACCTCCATGTTGGTTTTACCTTCACCTTCGTTAGATATGAAATTGATAAGTATATCACTTACAGATCTACCTTCGTTAAATTGTTTGCTAAAAGTCGAATATAATTTATTAACAAAAAGAGTCATGTCATCTTCCGGGGCATTAGTTATTTGAGTTTCTTGAGTTACTTGAATTATTATTTGAGTTTCTTGAGTTTCTTGTTCGCCTGGATTGTCAGTTGTATCCTGAATTTTAAAAACTGCATCAAGGTACTTTGTAATACTATCAATATCAGAGACATTAAAACCTGCATCGTCTTGAATATTATTGTCTTGAACATCATTATCTTGAACGATAATGTCTTTTAATTCCATCGCTACTTCTTGGATAGATGGTCGAAAATCTTGCATTCCCCGCCAACACCCTAAAAATTATAAAAAAAAGTTTATGACCCAAAAAACAAAAACATAAATTACAGATATATTATTAAGCAAACATACTCTTGTAAATAGTAACATATTTATGATGTGTATTAGGAATTGGATCCTCTCTTAGTCCGTTTCTTATCCTAAATGGGAGGGTAGCTGTGTCTGTATCATTCTTGAAAGGAATTTTTTCACTTGATATTTCCCATAATATAACTCCTACGCTATAAATATCCGATTTCTTATTTTTTTTATATCTTTTGTATTCTCCATTTTGACTATTTTTTACTAAAAAACATTGAGGATCAATATATGGTATAACACCGAAAATTTCACTCGTAGTTCTAGATTGCGAGAATTCAGCAATTCGTTTAGATAATCCAAAATCAGCCAATTTTAAAGATTGTTGATGAACAAGTACATTATTTGGGTGCTTTTAAGATGAAATAGAAATTATCCGCTTTATTAGTATAATAATTATATTTATGATTATTGATTATCTGCGGAGCTTAATTAACAAAGTATATGTATTATAAAACTTACCAGATCACCATGAATAGTATCACAATCATGTAACCATTTAACAGCGTTTGCAAGTTGATTTGCAAATTGGATTTTTAACCTCCATTCGATTTTAGTTGCATTGTTTTGCAAATAATCCCGTAAAGTTCCACTATCCGCATATTCAAGAACAAGTACACTTTTAACAACATTTGGATCCATTTGATCTATTTAAATAAAGAATATAATATAAAGAAAAGGGATAAATCACTATTATTGCTGTATTAGAGAACAGAAGATTATTCTTACCCTTATATTTAGAAACACCATAAAACTTAATAATGTTCTCATGAAATCCCACAGTAATTATATGCTTTATCTGAAAATTGTACATTTTAGTATATAACAAAATATTTATCTAATGATATTTTATTTTATTTTGCTTACTTCATTCACAACTTCTTTGTCTGTATGTTCATTTTTATGAATTATTTTTAACGCATACATATTATTCGTATTATTCGTATTTTTTAACATTGCTTTATAAACTATGCTAAAATTTCCATTGCCAATTAATTTAAATTCAATGAATTTATCAAATTTATATTCGGTAATCATCCCTTCATTGATTTTACTTTCAATCCAATTTTTATGAGAAAAATTTTTATCATCAGTTAAAGAAAGTCGAAGATCTTTCAATTCTTTAAGAACAACTTCAATTTCCGGACGTAATTTAGGATCTTGATTCCAACAATGTTGATAAAGTTTAACATATTCATCTGGTGTATCTTCTGTAGGAACCTCCCTGTTTCCATTTAATATAAAATTTATAATTTCTACTTGGTTATTAAAAGGCGGTCTACCACTAGAAATCTCCCAGAGAGTTACTCCGAAACCATAACTATCGGATTTTTTGTCACGTTTATATTGATGATTTAAAAAGCATTGTGGCTCTAGATATCCATACATTTCATTAGCTTTAACCATTGCTATGTCATCCATATGTTTTAATATCCCGAAATTTGCAATCAACATTCTTCCATTATGAACTAAAATGTTCTTCGTATGCTATTTTTTTTTTTAAAAAAAAAAAAGTAAATAATTTAAGAAATTTAAACCAATAAAAAAAAATTGTTGTATGCAGAAATTAGCAGGAATTCTTACAAGATCTCGATGACAAATTCTATTGTTATGTAAAAACATCAGTCCTTGAGCTATTTCTTGCGCAAATCTTAATCTATCTGACCATTTTAATTTCGAAAAATTCTTCTTTAAGTAATCGCGTAAATTTCCATCCGCAGCAAATTGTAAAATTAAGTTATACTCGTTATGGAAATAATCTATTTAAATAGAGATTAATTTACGAAAAAGATAACGGTTTAAGAAGTAATTGGTAACTACTAATCGCTTAGCTACCTTTTGTAATCCCATAGAATTGGACGATGTTAGGATGTTTATATTTGCCAATATCAACAAGATTCTGAAGCTACATATTAGAAGGAATGAGAAAGATGAAAGTCTTATTCAAAAAAGTAATAAAATATTACCTCATTAATGAATGCTCTAATTATTTTTTGATTTTTAGCTTCATTGTTAATAGTTTTATCGGTAATATCATTGGGATTAGTTATATTGTTAATAATTTTGGTGATTTCCACTATACTTCCATTATTAATAATTTCATCAGTTTCAATGTTTAAACTTTTAAGAACAATAATCGAATTTTTCCATTTTGCGGAGCGTACAGTCCCAAATGGACTATTACTAATTTTTTGAAAACTGCCAAATAAATTGTAATCAAGTATGTCTATATTTTGGCTTCCTTTATTAATAATCTTTTCGAATAACTCGTTTAAAGTGCTCGCCATAATTTACTAAACCAATTTTTGATCAAAATATAATCATAATAATAAAAAAAAAAAACTTTTGAGTATGAACGGTTAAAATGAGATTATGAATGGCAAGTAACTCTTGAAGTAAGAAACCTTCGATATACTGTAGACATGAAAAACTCTTGATATAAGATCTATAAATCTCGATTGAAAAATTTTATAAAAAACTCTCTATGTAAGAAAGATTTTGTTGGACCTGAAGACTTTCATATATCGATAGACTTTCATATATGAGTGTTGCCAAAAGAAAACCCGACAATTTAAATATAGTCTATATTTAAATTGTGCGGTTTTCTTTTGGCGACACTCATATCATGTATTCCATTACTAGTGATGAATTAATACATGTTTAGAAATCGATCTACAATTTAATAGAATTGTGAAATTGATCTACAGTTTTAAAAGTGTCTACAGTTTTAAAGTGTAGAATTTTAGAATTGAAGATCATTATTGAGGTTTGCAAAACGAATATAAAAATACGTTAGAAAATATATCTAATAAATTTTTTTAATAAAAAATTTTGAATTCAAATATGTCACCTGAATTTGAAACCAATATAAATTTTTGACAATCGTAATAAAAATTTTATATACGTATGTCATTATATACATATCGACATCGATAGAACTTGACAATGATTAGTAAATGCAAGAAATCATTTTTATTTTAACTCTTTTTGAACAAATCATGATTTATCAAGACGTTAGTATTGATGTTACTATATAGAAATGTTATAAAATTGCAAAAGTTACATTTTTGATATTAGTAATTCGTGGATTTATGTCAAAATCCTGAAAGTTAATTGTCGCGTTGTGTGATGTCGGGTTTCCAGTATTCAAACCCGCTTATGATTAGTAATAGTGATTACTAATCATAAACGGGGTTTGAATACTAGAAACCGACATCACACAACGCGACAATTAAATTTCAGGATTGACATAGATCCGATCATTGATTTTAGAATTTACAATTTATTTAGAATTTTTAGGACATTATAAATTTAAGTTTTAAGTCTAATTTGTATCATTTAATAATCTAGAATTCGAATTTAGGGCGATGTAGTGTGGTGGTGGAAGTGAACGAAGTCATAGTCAGTAATTAATCGATTACTGTATTGCAACTATAAAATTTACAAATGATCCATTGCAACAAATAAGGCTGTGTATGTCGAATGAGATAGTATTAAGACTCTAGCAAAATTAGATTCTTAGTAAATGTATAACATTGAATAAATGATAATATAGTAAGAAATTTGGTTTCTAACTGTAATTCTTTCTTGTGAATAAGAGCAATCCCATAACATATAATCCAGGATTACGTATTACTCTCGCATACAGTCGTACAATTGACTATGCTTCCTAATTAAGTTCTCACTACGCTTTGACCAATAATTTATCAAGAAAAAAAAATTCTTTTTGAGAATACACCATAGACTGTTAATCAGAGTAAGTGTAAGTATTGTACACGATTGTCATGCATTTAAAATTTCTATTATGGTTAGATGATTGACGCAGCTATTAACCATAGCTGCCGCAACAAAATTGGACCAGCAGATCCTCGATTTTGATCTGCTAACGGCCCACATTACAAAATTGTTTACTAATTTTCGGCCGGAATTAAATTTTTTAATTTTTTCATTACAAAAATAGAAATTCTTAAAAAATAAACCTGCGTTATGGTAAAATTGACCCAGGAACAATTTCACTTAATGAGCGGCTATAGTTTCATTAGTAAAATTATGAATAATTCCGGCCTAATTTTTTGATCGTCGCTCTTAGCCAATCAAACCGAGAATCTTCCGGTCCAATTTTGTTGCGCCAGCTATGAATAATTATAAAGGTTTGCGCCAAGAATGCTTCCCGACTTTCATTTAGTGAAAAGGAACCATAATAACTAGTTCAAAGTAAGTGAAAATAATCTAGGTCCCGAAGTTCGGCAAGTTTTTTAGCTGCGTTAATCATCTGACCATAATAGAAAATTTTACACGTGACATATCGATATCGTATGATTAAATAATATAGAGTAGATAATGTGTAACTTTTATATAACCTTACCATATTAAATCAAGATAAAAAATTACCGTTTGTCATAATTCCTTTAATAATCAATCACTTCAATATATTACTGTAGTATACGTACGTACGTATAGTATGTACTTTTTTCATTATAGATCACCCCACATGATTATCAATCATGATGTTCCCTATCGTATTGAGCCTATAATGGTATGGTATATTATTTAATCATTTCTATTGGCCCTTTGTGTAGGACACTCCAACCATATTTATCAAATCTAGGATCAAGTAGTGTCTTATGAAGATAGATTTACTTCTACGCTTGTTTCTAGTAAAGCGAACCAATTAATTTAGTTATTATTATTAGAAAAAGAGCTAACTAAATTGGTGGTTATACTTAGTTAAAATTTCATTAGAATTATTCAGACGAATAATTTAGCAACTAGAGTGGACCAATATTGTGCTGAAGTTGCTCATTTCTGATTTACTATTCCAGACTCTTGAAGTTGTGCCGATGTTGCTCATTTCTAATTTACTATCCCAGACTCTTGGTCCAGGCTCTTGAAGTTGATTCGATGTTGCTCATTTCTAATTTACTATCCCAGACTCTTGAATTTGCGCCTATTGAAATTATACTTTAAATTACTTTTTAATTAATTTCTAATTAATTTCTAATGCTAATCAATTTCTAATTAAGTTATAATGATCTGATAAATACTCGAATTCTTTAAAAATTTTGTAACATTCTGTCACCAATTACACGATTAAAATTTCATTTTTCTGTGGTTAATATTTTTTTTTTACGCTTGCATTAATAAGGAATATTAAGTAAGAAATTAATTCCAAACTGTGGAGCCTTCTGAATTTGGTAAAATTGTATCAATTTATTTTTATAAATTAATTCTGAACAAATGTAATGAGTTCGCTGAACTCTTTTTATTTTAAATAAAATGCTAAAAATTTAAAAACAATACATATAATATGAGTGATAAAGTATATACTGATAGACAAAATCTTATTATGAATAATAACGAGATAACCTCTGGTAGAAATGTTGTAAAATTTATGGGAGATGAACGTGGTTTGCCAATTCAGCCTCCAGATAAAAAAAGAAAGAACTTTTTAGGAATATTAGGAGGAGTGGGGTACAACGTTAATCACATTATCGGTGCTGGTATGTATTGATGTTTACGTTTATAAAAAGTTCTTTAATGATATATAAATGATATATAAAAAATTCTTTAATGATAAAATAATTTCATTACGACTATTTCAAAAAGGTATTTTTGATCCTGATGATATATGGACTTTAATGGGATCACCAGGTGTTGTTTTAATGTTTTGGATTTTGGGAGGCATTATTAGCTTATTTGGCACTTTAATATATACTGAGGTAAAGGATTAATGAGTAACTTAAGTTTACCTAATACGTAAGACGGTTATTTATGATTTTCTTTTTTATAGTTGGGCATTAGGTCGTTACCTAAGGGAATAGGTGAACAAAGATACATTGATAATGCGTTTCCGAGTAAAAAACATTTAGGACATGTATTTTCTTTCGTTGCAATAACGTATGTAAAATCTATAAAAATTTCTAAAATCTTGTGTTATTATTATTATTATGCACGCGTAACTAATAATCTGCTTTTAATAAAAGTATAATTTTTCCTGTGGTCATAATAGCTGATGCTTATTCTTGCGCCCAACATTTGCTCTATCTTTTTGATATAAATCCTGATCCTAAAGAATATTTTGGAAAAGATTACATGTAAGCAAAGGTAATACTGTAATATGAAGTTATTATCATATATCAAATTCTAACTTTACCGAATTTATAGTGCCCAACGTTTATTGTCAATTTTTATTCTGGCAATTATTACCGCATATAATATGTATTCTAATAAATTATCTGTCTACATAAATCAAGTATTAGTCTTCATTAAGATTATTGCTATTTTTCTTATTTCCATAATTGGATTAATGACATTAACAAAATCAAATACTACAAATTGGGCTGAAATTTACAACTCTCCAACAACATACGTTGGAGCCTATGGCAGTGGAATCTTAAAGGTAAATTAATGTATATCATATCAATATAGTTTTTTTCAACGCATATATCAGTGTTGTCAATAGAAGGTTAATAAGGTTAATGAAAGATCAATGCAATGGAAATACATCATACAACTAATTATGATGTCCTCATTGGAAACAAAACAGCATTGATATATCGTTCCCTTGACAATTATTTCCTAACATTAAACATCAAGTCGAGCAAATTTTATTTCGAAATTGAGGCTAACTTTAATGTCAAGGCTATGATTGTCAAGGAATTACGAGAGATGATTATTATTAAAATTTATTTTAAATTTGAATTTAAACTTAGGTATTATTTGCTTATGAAGGTGTGTTTATAAAATTTTTAATATTTAACCATTAGTATAAATTAGTATAAATTAGTATAAATTAAATAAATTAACTGATAATTATATATAAATATTTTTTTATAATGCATATACATTCAAGGATGGAATAGTATAAACTGTAAGATAACTCGTTATAATAATATTAAATATGGTTTTTTTCAATCATAACTTATGCAAATAAAAATTTTACTTTAGATACAATTGAAGAATTGCAGGAACCAAAAGATAAAAAATTGAAATATTCAAACATTATTGCTATAGGTGTCTCCTTTATACTTTGTAAGGTTTCGGTTCATTTAATTTATTCCGATTACTTAGCCTATCACATTCTAACTTACTGAAACTATAACTCTTTTATTGTCTAGATTTTCTCATTAATGTTGCTTACATAGCATCGATTGGACATGATTTTTTCATTGATAAGAGCAGTTTTAATAATGCTTTTAACAACAGTATTGCTCTACGCTTTGGTTATAAACTCTTTAATAATAATGAAACTGGAGTAACATTTATGTCAGCACTTATCGCAATTTCCGCTTTTGGATGTGTGGGCTCAATGGTTTTCTCGTAAGATTATTGAAATATCATGCTAAATTATAGAATATTATCGCAATGAATTAATTTCTTATATTTTTAATAGTTATGCACGAATTATAAAATATGCTGCCGCAACAAAATTCATACCTAAATATTCTTATAAATTTAATAACTTTCATAAGAAGTACGGTACACCATTTAACGCATTACTTGCCCAGTTTATTTATTGTTCAATTTTTCTTCTCCTCTTTTTCAATCCATCAAAAGATCTTTTTGATGTTGTTGCTGTGACATCACAAATTATTGCCATTATGTTTCACGGAGCTTCTGCGATTTGTTTATTTGTAAGTTTAAATTAAATTGTTCATTTTTTATTTATTATATTTGATACAACTTATTTAAAAAAAAAAGTATTTAATTTTATTAGGTTTTAAAAAAAGATCCTTCTAATTTTCAAATACCTAAATGGATTATTGTAATTTATCCTATATTCGTAACTTTAATTGTCATCACTTCATTTTTCCCGACTGGGCCTGGCCAATTGAATTATATACTGTATATGTTGCCATATGGGTTATCTGTGGTAGCTACACTTTTAGGTGTAATTATTTGGAGATTTCGCAATTATTCGGATGATTCGGATGATCCGGGATCTGAAACAGTTCTCAAAACTTCCCGGGTGATGTAAACTGCTTTTTTTTAGGCATTATTTTTTCTAACTGGATTTAGAAATCACTGCCTGGAGTACTAATTTGAACTTATTGTAACTATATTGAGCAATTTATTATTAAAAATTTCATAGCATATTATTACAATGGCGATAGTTTCAGTAGCAATTTACATTTTTCTATATTTCTTGTAATATATTTTGTCCCAATTCATTTCATTAGATTCTTTTTCCTCCAATAAATTCGCATAAATACAAGTAAAGAATTGCCATTAGAAATAATATGGAAAAATCTCCGGATAATCACAAATTAGATAGGACGCAATTGTTGTGAAGTTTTAAAAAATTTTAAAAAAACTAATTCTACAAACATGTAATAAAATATTCATCAAATTTGTTCAGATTGCTGTGGGAAAACTTTGCTTAAAGTTGAAAAAGAAGTTTTACTAAGATTTTTGCTTTTTTTTCTAAGATTTTCAACCTTTTTTAAAAATTTTAAGCGAGGTTATATCTAACTAAATTTGACAAATATTTTATTTTATTTTAATTAAAATAAAAAAAAAAGTTTGCGAAATTAATTAATTTTGCCGTCATTATCTCTAAATCATGTGACAAAAATGGATTTATACCTTAAGGAATAATACGACTATACAGTTATTTATACCTTGAGGAATAATACGACTATACAGTTATTTATTTAAATTACTTTGAAATAAAGTTAAAATAAGAAAAAGTGTTTATTAGATTGTCCTTGATTTTAGCTGTGAAATGTTCCCGAGTATGATGGCAACCATCTTATCGAAACCAATAAGATGCTTTATTAAAGTTTTTTTGATGTCTCTTCACCGTATTCATAGCAATTAACAAGTTCACGTAATGATTTAGGTACTCTCATCTCAGCAGCTTGTATAAGATTTTTTTCATATTCACATCCTTTTTTGTAAGATAATTCCAAATTGTACACTACCAATATGTTGTCCTTATTAACTGCATTTTAAGTAATTTAGATGTTTTAGAATAGCTCTGGTTTCAAAACTAGTAATCTCAAAGCATCCATTATCTAATTGCTTTATTATAAAATTTAAATGCCTTCCTCATATTTTTTTAGTGTTCTGCCCGATAAAATATTGTGAACCAAATCATATTTTTACTTGTCGCATCAAAAAATTGAACAAATACATTCTTTTTGATTTTTTTGTTGCCAATGATCCACATATAGTATAAAATGTCTACGAAGACAAATAAATTTTGGCTAATCTTTATTAAGATATAACCAAGATAAAATCTCACTATCTGGTTTTCCATTTTCAGGTATATAACCACCAATTATTTTTTGGACTAACTTGCCTTTATTACATATCACAAAAATTTGAATATAGTCCATTTACAAAATTGTCCTGGGATCTTCTTGAATTTCTAAATCTAAGAAATATTCAAAGTTTTATCGAAAAGTACATAGATTGAATAAAGACATATAAACTAGGCCAATCTGGACGATATAGCCACCATTAAATGTATCTCAGTGAGCTTAATTACTTTTAATTAATTGACTTTAGTTGTTCATTGATAAAAAAATAATTTTCATTCAACTCCACTCGGATTCCAGCATATAATTAACATTATAAAAATTTTGCCCCAAATTCTAATATATAAATTGTACTGATCTTATCTTGATCAGCAATTAATAAAGTTATAAACAAGGCCTCACTTTTAATATTTTAAAAAATATATAATATTAATAGGTAATATTTTTTTAGCACCATAGCACCATAGCACTATAGCATTATTACCAATTGAAATTTAAGATCAGGTGTAATGTAAAATTAGCTTTGTGTAACAAATTAAAGGATTTTTTAAAAATTGATTATAGCTCAAAATTCTGTCTATGAAACTACCTTTTGGGTTCTAACAAAAAAATTTCTTACAAAATTTTACTATAAACCTCATCTAACCCTAACTATTAGCCTTTACTCTTACTCTAATATTAAAAGAATTAAATATTATTTGGTTTGCTTTATAGATTACACTAATGTTTAATATAAAATTGTACTAAGTACTATAGTGTCATGAAAGTATTTCCATTAAAAATATTAAATAATAATTTAAAAAATATAAAAATTAATTAAAAATATACAAACTAAGGTTCATTTAAACTCAAGCTGGAACATATATCAGGTCTATTTAAATCTATATCAGTTATTTGAACTTTATCAGGTCTATTTGAACTCATGTCAGGTTCATTTAAACCCAAGTCAAGTTTTTTGAAACCACATTGGGTTTATTTGAACCTATATTAAGCCTATTTGAATTCCATCAGATTCATTTAAACTCATATTGGGCCTATTTAAGCTTATATTAGTTTGTTTAAACCCACATTATATCTATTTAAACCCATATAAACTATATCTCTTTGTTGTTCAAATGAACCTATGTCAGATTCAAATAAACCCATATTGAATTTCATATTGGGTTGATTTAAACTCATATCAGGTTATTTGAACCCAAATTAAGATTATTTAAGTCTAAAAGCTAATATAATTAAGGTTTAAAAATTAGAAAAAACAAAAAACTTGAACTTAGGCAATGCAAAGTTCTAAAAGCTAATATAATTTAGGCTTAAGAATTAGAAAAAATTAAAAACTCAAACCAGGGCTAGAACTGGGTCCTAAGAGCTAGTTAAATATTATTATTTGTTTAGCTATTATTATATAACAACTTCAAAATTATAAATTGGTTGTTTACTATTTATAACTTCATGAAATGATAATGGCTAGAAACATTTTGTAATAAGAATTATAACAATTTAATAACCTAAAGATAAAGTTTTAATATAATAAATAATATCTCATTGATAAAATCTTTAATAGTCTTTAAATCTATGATTGTATCAACTTTAAGACATTTAAGAGCAAAAGTTGGGCTAGGTGCTACAGAAAAGAGGAAATCAACAAAACAATAGATTGTTGGAAGAGCAAAAGTTAGGCTAGGTGCTACAAAAAAGGGGAAATTAACAGAACAAAAGATCTGAAGAGCAAAACTTGGGCTAGGTGCTACAGAAAAGGAGAAATCAACAAGACAAAAGATCTTTGAATCTTTTAAAAATCAATTTTTATGTTATAAATTTTATAATAAATTACAAGAAAATACAAACTTTAAAAGGCTATATTACAAAATTTTATTAATACAACTGATTCTGAATTGATTGCATAAAAAAAAAAGTGAAAATTTGTTGATTTCCCGCTATTCTGTATCACTCTGCTCAGTTAATTCTAGTGGTATTACCTTATAGAAAGACATTCATATGATTGGTTAATTTTTGTAAATCTGCCCATAATTACCTGTAATAATTAGCTAATCAAAATACATAGTTTTTAAAAAAGATTTATTGTTTTAATACTAATAGAAAATGAAAAAGCGAAAAAAAATTTAATAAAGAAGCTAACAAATTAATAAATATATGCAAAAGAATTATTATATATATTTATAGAATAGATAAGAGCATGTATAATGAAGTAAATGTGATATTTATTACTAATAAACCCAAACTCATTAAAGAATATACTAGATATAAATCAAAGCTTTAATTTTCAGTTGATAAACCCAAACATACTACAAGAACTGACTAAATTTAAACATTAAACTCGGGCCTTCTATTACTAAAAAGCTTGTACCTATTCAAAGCAAACAGATCACAGTAAAAAAATTATTTAAATCTAACGAAATAAAGTAATTTTAGACGAAAACATTTCCAGTTACCTCTCCTTTACAGTAAAATTTAAACAGTCCAATAGACAGTGTCTTCTTAGTAAAGTAGGTCAGGAGGTGGATTCTTTTGGATTCTTTTGCATAGTGTATATTAATATTCGTTCAAAGCTAAGAATGATTTTTATGACAATTTTTTATTAGTAAAACATTACATTTTTAAAAAGTACTCTAAAGTGTATAAATAAGTTATCTAGGCAATTGATTTACATCAGTTAATTAGATGAAAGTCCTTCTATGAGGTATTACCCAGGTCAGAAAATAATGATCCAGATGTTGACCCAGGTTATGGTTCGGTTATATGGAACATATATGAGGAATGGTCTAAGAAAACCTGCATTGAATAGCTAATGTCGAAGGCAGGTTTTCCTAGACTATTTCCCATATGATGTGTACCTGTCGCAGCATATTTAAACATACCAACAAATATTTAAATTAAATCTTTTCGGAGTTTTACCATATAAGCGCCATCTGCGCGTTATTTGGACACACCCATATGCGTTATTTCAAAATAAGAGTTGGTTTTTTTTTTTGAATCCAATACTGTCAATCTTTGGGTTAACTAAAGTGGAGCAGAATCATGTGAAATATAACTAATCAAATTATATAATTTGATGATCCCCAGCAAAATAAGACAAGAAATAAAGACAAAACCCCAAAAATACAAAAAATGACAGTCTAAACCTAACTTGGGTAAGTTAATTAAAAATGTTAGCAATTTTGCTTATATATATTGCTTTATACCTAATCTATTCCTAATATAAGATGATTCTAGTCCTTAAGTTAATTCAATAAATATATATTATGAGATCTACTCTGCTTTAGATATCCTCATAAATATATATAATTAGGAAAAGGTGCTTTTACGGAATGTGCTCTTATAGAATGTAATCTATATATAATGTTATGTTACCAAATTTCAGTTTGAGAAGTATGTATACACACATATGATTACATACTTTCTTCATATTAAAGTAAAAAATTTCATATGCGATCCTCACATGTGCATATAGAATTTTTACACTATACAAATCAAATGATGTGCACTAATAGAAGAAATGCATGTGAAGTGCACTTATAAAGGATGCACTTACAGAAGATTAGCTAAACTTCAATAGATGCTAATTTGAGACCACATAACCTATTTATGAAGGATTCGATTTTTAAAATAACACCTACAAGCGTTATTTTGCACTTATACGGTATCAAAAATTTCTTTGAGCAAACAGAGTTTATTGGATTTATCCACACTACTTGATCTAATTTTTGACTCATGACTTATCAGAAACTGTCCCGTACTGTCTCGGTTAGAGCTTTAGTAAAATTATAATCTATTAATATGATTATGTAGGTACAATATATGAGTGTGGCTAAGAGAAAATATACACATTTTTTGCAACTAATTGATATAACTCCAAATAACATATTTTATAATCTAAAATAATTAGTTATATGTTATTCGGTATTATATCAATTAGTTGCACAAAAATGTGTATGTTTTCTCTTAGCTGCACTCATATAATAAACATTAAAATATTATTTTAGCAAATTTTGCCTATTTTAAATCCTGGCCCGTTAGATTAATTTTCGATGTGACCCGAGTAATACCTTTAATTAATTCACTGTTTCTCTACTTGTATTTAAAACCTTTCCAAAACCTCCAATGCCGATCTCAATAAGATCTGTAAATTTATTATATTCATATAATCAATATACCCTTCAGAAATAGCTTTTTCAAGCCATTTTTCTAATTTGTTTGCCATAATTTTTGTATATACTAATTTGACTGAAAAACAACGTTCTATTCATCTAAAATTGTTTTTTGTTACATATATACATACGAACTATATTCTACATTCTGTGGCATCTAAAGTTCAATATAGTCACAATATATCTGATATAGAATTTTTTTGTATTACAGAGTGACAATCGCATCAGTTGATAAGGAGAGTCTCTGGACACCTACCTTACATGTGAATTTTGAACCTACCAAATATAAATCAACCAATCATAAAAAACTCTAACCCTAATGCTAACTAGGTAGGTGCAAAATCGGTAGGTGTCCAGAGACTTTTCCAGTTGAAGGCAGTGTTCCAATCCTTAATCAGATCATCTGAATTAATCTTTAAATCTAGATATATCTAAATATCCAGATTGGAGATTTTTACTTGGATTGGTCAAAGAACTTAAATAACCGACATATAGACGTTCTCAAAACTGGCTTTATATATAATCTGACATGGATTCAATCAGGATTAATAGAATTCAGATAGCCTGTTAAAGGTAGGTTTGGAACACTAGTTAAAAGGCTTTGAAATTATATCAGCTGTTGGTTATGAACTACCACCATGAAAGGTGTAACTATCCAAAAAATTCAGATCCAAAAGAAATATTAGTAATTATCAGAAAGACCATGTACATATAGAAGAAATTTTTTTAATACTTTGAGAGATTAAGCTATTTTCTTGTATATACGTTGTGAAGGGACCAAATAGGGATGAGTTTGGTTACAACTATAGTCGACTATAGTTGACTATAGTTGACTATTAGTTGTAGATGGTATTTAGCCATCTGACGGCTTAGCTGACCAGCTAAAATTGTAGTCAATGCCAGATTTTTATTATTCTGACAAATAAAAATGACAATTAATACTTAATTCAGTAATTCAACATGAGACTACATTAGTGGATTTACACTATTTGATAAATAGAAAAACACATCATTCATAATTCTAGTTAAATTTGAAAATCATTTAGCCAAATCTAGAACAACCCAATTTTAAATCTGGTCTAGTGATCTGCAATTTGATCAGGTAATGCAGATCAACAAATAATTTTTTTTGTTCAATCAAAATTCAATTTTTGGATATGTTAAAACAATCTAATTCTGGTCAAATTTGCAGATCATTTGGCCTGGGAAATCCCAAAATTTTTGGGCTGAATAATCTGCAATTTGACCAGAATTAGATTGCTTTGACAACGCTTGATAAGTCCAAATAGCCTTCTATAGCAAAAATATAAACTAATATATAATATTTGTTGTCTATTTAGATATTTGATTAAATAATTGATTAAATAATTTATTAACTATTTAGCTAATTACTAAGCTGTGGCTTAGTCAACTATGATTGGCTAGCCTGTAATAGCCAACTGATAACCAACCGTAACTGACCAAACCTATCTATAGCTCTAAACCCATTATTTTATTTTTATTTTTTATTTTATATCTACAGTCGTACCTCTATATAATCACCTATTTTGTTTAGCACTTTTTGGTGATTAAGTAGAGAGGTGATTAAATAAAATTAATAAAATTACCTCTATTTTATCATATAATATAGAATAATTAAATAATGTGATTTTAAATATAAAGTGTATATAGATCATTTTTCATATGATCACCATGGTAGTACATAGTAAATAAAATTATATTGCTAATAAAACTTTTTAATATTTTGGCTAATTGTTGTAAAAATTTTACAATATGTAATTTAGAATAGTTTATTTGTAATAGTAAAGTAATAGAATGTAAATTGGTTTAAAAAAAATTAATTTTCTATATAACTATATTTGTCTAGGTCACTATATATTTTTTTTAGATAGTACAAAGATTTGATAATTCTGATTGGTCAAATCATATGATGTTTATATGTAAATCTAGTGTTACAAGCTATAAGGTTTTTATTGGCTGGCTAAACTAGCCAATAAAAAATCAGCTTAGCGACTGCTAATGGCTAAAGTAAGCAAAAAAAATTTTACTTCAGAAGATATCAGAAATTACTTCACTTTTTTTCTCAACATTGCTCATCTTTGATGTTGGCTTATTTTTTCTTTGAAAACTTTCAGATTCTTGCTTTCTGTTATTTAATTCTGTCTAAGATTATTGTTTGTCTAAATTATACTACCAGAGTCATTTGACCTTAAGCTGCATTAGTAGCTGATCATATTATATCAGCTGGCTTAGCCAGCAAGCTGCTTTAGCCATAGCTGCCCTAGCTGGCTTGTAACACTATATAAATCATATGACATCATATAATATTGGTTACACAATATTGATCTACAATCTACTTTATATGAATTAGGAAATATTTACACCCTACCTTTAAAAGGTAAAATAATATAAATTTTAAAATATAAAATATCTAATAAATAAAAATAAAATTTGCTATTTTTATTCAAATTTGATGATAGATATTTCGATAACTATTAATTCAAATGAGCTTAAATTTTTACTATAGATAGTATCGATAATAATCTAATATATATAAAAATTTCAGCTAAAATAGACTGGTATTTCTTGAATAATTGTTTGTATGTGCTAGTCAATTGGTTTAAAACAAATTTACTATAGTATACAAACAATTATTCAAGAATTACCATACTAAATTTTATATTTAATAGATCAATATCGATACTATTTATAGTAAAAATATAAGATAGTTTTAATCAATAATTATTGAGATATCTATTGTCAATGTTTGAATAAAAATAGCAAAAATTTTATGTACTAAACAAATATATTATTTTTATTAAATATTGAAGATATATATCTCAATAACTATTATTAAAATCAGCTCAAAATTTTTATCATATATTGTGTCGATATTCTTTATTTAAATTTAAAATTTTTAGTCAATTTGGTCTAGTAGTTTTTAAGTAATTGATTGTATACTATAGTCAGTTTTTTTAAAAAAATTAACTATTGTATACAAACAATTATTAGAAAGCTACTAGACAAATTGGCTGAAATTTTTTATATAATAGATGAATATTGAAACTATCTATAATAAAAATTTTAGCTGATTTGGATTAAGTGTTATTGAGATATCCATTGTCAAAGTTTGAGTAAAAATAATAAAAATTTTATGATTTAGATTATTTAAAATTTTAATTAAAAATATCTCAACAATTACTATAGAATTTAAAGAAAAATGGTTTATTAATTTGTGATTTTAAAGAGCTATTTTCATTAATAAGTTAGTAAAAATTTTTTTAAAAAAATATGAAACAATAGTACTATGATTGTGATCATATAAAGGTATTTTTCATATTAATAAAAATGATCGCATAAAATTATATGATTATATAGAGTTTGTGATTATATAGGAGGTAATTATATGGAGGTATGACTGTAGTAGCTAAAGTTTGCCATCTTATTTATGACCTTTATTCCATTTATAGCATTTATATCAATTTGCTACAAAGTTCAATCTTAAAGCCTATATTGAGATAAGCATGTTAAAACTATAAAAGCGATATCTTTTTGCTTCAATAAAGCAAATTCTCCTCTTGATATATTAAATTCATATAAAGAATTAGTAGTTTAATCCTGCGATCCCAAACTAGAGCTTCAGGCATAATATAGAGCTCTAATCTAACACCCTAATTACTCGAACCAAGTCCTTCCATGCCTTTTTTATAACCTTTTACTATTAGGGTTTAGGTCAGATAATGGTGCAGTTAGACATTAGTTGTTACCTAAATTGCCTATATTTTGTGATTTCAGTTTGGTCTTCACCTTTACAATGTATGTACATGGGGAAATTAGAGCTTCTGTAATTATTTAATAATTCTAAAATAAGCAGCTGATTAAATCATACTTATCATGTTTTTCTTCATGTGCTGCTAGTATCTAATTCTAATTGCATGGTTTGACTAACTTGACTATTATTTAAGAGCCAATTATACAATAACAAAAAATAGCTATAATCTGTATATTTTATAACTTATTAAACATTTCAAGTATAGTATAATATTAAGAGCCAAGTAGTGATAATTTTGTTTGTAAAAGTTTTAGCTAATATTTTAATAGTTAAAGATGGGTCTATAAGTATATAATTTATTTTACTGGGCTATAAAACAGACTATATCTATTAATCAAAAGAATTTCATACCCAAAATTTTTATTGCAATATCTATATGAATTTTTTGAATTATCTATATTTTATTTTTTTTATTATAATAATTAATTTAAATAACAGCAGCATATTTTTTTTATTCTATTAAAAGGTTTTTTATTTATTGTAGCCAAGTAGTTTTGAGAGTTTTTATAAATTTTTAATAATATATTCATAAGTATCTTTGTATTTTAATCTGCTACAATTCGCAATTTATAGAAACTCTAATATCTGGCTAATGAAGTTCAAACAAGTATTTGTTCTAAAAAGTTTTATAATCTGATTATACAGAGATAATTTAATAAATATTTAGCAAAATCAAGAATTATATTATTAGAATCTATTTTGTATATTTCTAAAATTTTTCAAAACACTATACCAATACTATAAGCTATTTATTTAATTAACTTCTTTCTTTTAGCTAGTTTTATAAATAATTAGTTAATTTAATATAAAGATATAAATTTTCTTTATAAGTAGATAATTTTTGTGATTTTTTTTATTTAGATAATTATTGTATTTTCTAGCATGTTTAGTTAATTGTTTCTTATTTATTTGTTCTGTGAATTTTATTAAGTAAACAAAAGTAAATTATATTACTAAAATACTTGTATATATTCTATATATAGGGGTTTTACAAACCTGGGTAAAATCAAACCTTAAGCCAGGTTTAGATTTTATTTGATTTCAAATCAAAGCCGATCTCAAACTATAATTAAAAATATTTGAATTTGATTTGAAAGCACATTACGGCGCATTTGCGAAATACCCCAAAATTTAAAAAATTTGATTACTGATACGTATATATATGTTTTAATGAGATAATCAACATTCCCCAAGTTATGATGCGTCATTTAAAAAATTCTTATGTCTAATGGGTTGTGTCGGGGAGTGGGAAGATGGGTTAGTATGTGAGGAAAATGGGTTGGACGCGTTATTAGTACAGATCAGGGGTTCAAAAAAATTTTTCAGGGTTTAACATTGATTGATTAATATATAATTCGGTAACTAAAATTTAATTTGGGGAACCAAATACATAGATTTGGTGATAAATTGTCTGCTTAATTTCGCAAATGCGTGTAATGCAAATTTTTTAACTAAGTTTGATTTGTAAGTTTGCAAACTGTTTGAGTTAGAAGAATTTTACAAAAAATTTAATTTACTTTACAAACTATTGTGAACATTGGTTAGGAGAGCAATCACTGGTTAAAAAACATATATTTTAACTAAAAAATAACTATATAATTACTAGATAATTTTGTAATTTAATATATTGAATTAACTTAAGTGGGTCAGGGTTAGTGCTCGGTACAATCAATCGAAATTTTGATAATCAAATACTTGTGATTAGTCAGACGTCAAACGATCACTGATCAAACAAAGCTAAATATATAGTATTGGTTGAGTTGCGATCATTTGATGTTTGACTTAATCACAAGTATTTTATTGTCAAATTTTTGTTTGATTGTGGCGAGCACTAGTCAGCGTTAACCCAAATAGATTAATTTTAATTATTTGGGGTTTTATTATGTAACAATAATAAAGAAAATACTAAATTAATAAAAAAATAATTTATATATGCAAAATTAAATTTTGACTTTTACTAAAACGCACCTATGGTGTTTTACACCATAGGTCCCGTCTCTCAAAAACGTACTAAGTAAACAGGATCAGGCCCTCTAAGTAAAAATGTCCAGGACCTCCAAAAACCTCACGAGAACTGAAATCGGGACCTTATATTAGCTCTATAATATAGTATATAAAAAAAAATAATTCTTAATTTTCTAACCCTAACCCTAAATTTTACTAGAAGCAATTATATATAGGTGTCAAAACACCATAGGTGCATTTTATAATAATTCTAAATTTTAAACATATTTATCTAAGAGCTAAAAGCAGATTATATTAATAAAATTTTAGCTATTCCTAACTCTGTCCAAATGATTTAAGTGCACAACATTGTATGATATATTTATTAAAATAATATTTGCATCATTAAAATATTTAAAAATTCAATATTAAATGATTGCAGAAAGTAAAATCACATATTACTGATTATTTATCTCAGAATGAATTATTTTTTTTCTAAATCAGTAATAATACCAGACATTTAACTCCATCTTATTGACAAGTGTTTGGTTATTATAAATATAATTTATCTTGCCGATTTTTTGATTTTATAAAACATAATTATGAAAATAAAGTGAAGATAAAGGCAAGTCCATTAGCAACAATAATTCCATTAACAGTGCCACTTATTCCCAGTCTTGTAGAAGAGGATTTAGCTGAAGTTGAAGATGTATTTGCTAAGAAAAATTAATTTGAAATGAATTAGACTGAACAAAATCTAAACATAATTTTAAATAAATACTACCTTTTGTACCCGAATTGTCAGAACCTGCTAAAGTGATCACACCCCACATACCCATTTTACAGTGATTACCTACACCACAATAATACCAGATCTTTGAATCAGAACCATCAATTGTAAATATTACCATGCCACTAGTTCTTGCGTCGGAAATAGCTAAATTCAAATAAAGCAGATTAATGAAACGAAAACAATATAAAAATATAGCGAATAATAAAGATGACAATTACTAGCATTGCCGCTTTTAAGGGATGTGGATGGGGTACAGCTTCCCTGGCCATCAGATCGAATGATAGAGTGTTGGCCACCTGTCCAATTGAACTGGACCTATAATAATAAAAAAACAAGAGAATAATAATATAGATATATGTTAACAGATAATATTTGAATATATATATATATTATATTAACAGATATAATTTTTACCATATCCCCTTTATTTACAGTAATGTTTTGTGGGCTAAAAATTAACGAATCACCGCCGACAGCAACATTTATAGTTTCTGCTGAGACGATAGAAAGAATAACTAAGAATAAGGCCAAAAATGATAAATTACTAAAAGAACGATAACTTGGCATTTTTATGTATTTGAGTAAAGGGCAAATAATAATTTATTAAAAGAAATATTGAGAGATACGAATATATGTACGTACAGTACGTACGTACGTACGTGCGTAAATATGCATCATAATTTACACGACGGTAGTGCAAAGTAGAATGTAACATTCGTTATTTATATAATGTAAAGGAGTCGATAATCATCACAAAATCAATTTTCAAAATCGAATACTGAAGAATTGAGTAATTCAGAAGTGAAGTCTATTTAATTAGAGTCAACTTTCATATATATTTTAGGCAGTAAATGTGACCTGCCAGCAGGCACGAAATAATATGACCGGAACCAAAATTAAGCCCATATTTCCTGATTTAGTAATTTTTAATTAAACTCCAATCAACAGAATGTCTTGTCTATATATTTATTGATGTACGTATGTGATTTGTTTATACGTAATACATGTACGTACGTACGTACTAGGGATGTGTTCGGTCTATACATGGGTGTCTAAATTATTTTTTAAAAAAAGCAATTTCGACAAACACTTCGACATTGCTAGTTTTTTATATGAATTCCACAAAGTAACTATACTACCTAACGTATTTTGACATAAAGAATTCAAATAATTTCACTAAAAATTTCGCCATTAAAATTAATTTCAACAGACTAAATGCCGAAATAATTTTTTATTAAGAGGAGTAATTTAGACACCCATGTATAGTTCGGTCAGCTATAATCAACTATCGACTAGTAGCCGATCAATTTCTTAATCGAATTCAATCTAAAATATAAATAAGTGCCAAATAATTATATTTTTATATTTTATACAGTAGTACTCTAGCCATGGTGAAAAAAAGTTCAGGTCACATGCTGAAAACAGCCAATCAAAATAATCAAAATATTGAAGATCCGATCTATATTTTCAAAACAATCTAATTCTGGTCAAATTTGTAGATCATTTGGCCTATTGGAGATGAGTTTAAACCTCATCCACAATAGGCCAAGCGATTTGAAATTTAACCAGAATTTGAAAATGTAAATTGGTCGAAATCAGCCCATATAAAATTTTGAAGATTTCTCTGTAACTACTTGATTAAACACAGTAAAAATTTTTTTATTTAATTCTAAACTTTGTAGAATTAAAATAAAAAAATTTTATCGAAATTTGATAGATGGTTGTTGAGAAATATGAATTCTACAAAAATATCAGTAAATTTCTTTTTTTTAACTTAAACGAAGATTTCTCAACAACCATTGGTTCAAATTTTTTTATTTAATTCTATAAGTTTATAAAAATAAAGTAAAATAAAAAATTATTAAAATTGGGTAAATTTTGCAAACTGTGATATTTATAATTATCAAAAAGATTGCTCGATTATTAGATAAAACATACCTGTCTTTCACTATCTTACAATAAAAACACCTTAGCTGTCGCACCAATTTTACCACGGTAGGTTCTCAGTAGTCTACAAAATTTTGGCCCGCATTATACAATTGTTTCATAAATTTTGGCCGGAATTAGTTTTTGACTTTTTTATTACAAAAATATAAATTTTTATGGAAATAAGATTTTATTAGTCGTATCGTTCCACAGTTATAGGGGTCTTTGTTCGTTTCCACTTCCCACCTAAACTACTGTTTATTTACTAGAACGTGTATTCACTAAGCAAAACAAATCGATACTCTCTTTTATTAGAGATAATCAATCCGGGTACTTGATTACCCAGTTACACGCATTATGCAATACTTACAAATAGACTATAAATTAAATTCATGCATCAACGATCACGCGATTAAACAGTATAGAGTACCAGGGTTCGATTCTAGAAAAGTAAAGGCTGGACAATTTTTATAGCGTACCCTATAGGTACTTTACAGTATTTTTAAGTACTGTAAAGTACTATAATATCTAGAGTATAGTCGAATAAAGTATTATAATATCTAGAGTATAGTCGAATAAAGTATTATAATATTTGGAGTATAGTCAAATAAAGTACTATAATGTCTATATAGTCAATAAAGTATTATATCTAAAGTATAGTTGAATAAACATTTTAAAATTTTTTCATAATGCAGATATTAAATAGTACTAATTTTATTTTAATGTTCATCGATTACTATTTTTCTACAAGGTAATTTGCTTTTTGACTATAAATTCTAGTCTATATAATTCTTCTCAGAATTCATAATGTTTTATAATTTGTCAATACGGATACTGTATTTTAACTATTATGTTATACAGTAATTTTGTATCTACCATTCTTTATTTGCTAAGCTCCCTTTTCATTTTTTCAATCTATAATTTTTTAATTCTAACTCTGCTTCATGTTCTTTTAATGTGATTTCCTTTTCTTTAAGTGCAAGTCTTCTTTTGCTTATTTCTATATCTTCCAAATTATTAGTATAATTACTTTCTTGAGTGTTAATTTGCTTTATAACTGTTTTTTGTTTTTTTACTGATTTTTATTTTGAAGTAGATGCTTGTTTTTTGTTAACTAAATTAATTAAAATTAATATATAAAATTTATTAAATAGTTAATAAAATGTTGTATTAAATTTAAATTAATACTTACTTTTTTGATTTACTAAATGAATTGTTCTTGAAACAATACCCTGATCATGGCTAGAGCAAGAAATTTCTGAAGCTTGATATATTTTAATTGAATGAAATGTTTGCTTATCTTCTAAAAAATCTCTAAAAAATTATTAATAAATATAAAATAAACCAAATAAAATTATGACTAATTATTTAAATATAAATACTTTTGAATTGCTACATAAAGATTTAAATTAATTCTATATCTATTAACTCTTGCATGACTGGGTTTAAAGAAGCAAAAACCCAATCATTCAAATAAAATTTAACTTATTCTATAAATATAAAAAAATATTAAAGTATTCATATTTTTAAATTTAAATTTAATTAATTAAATAATTACCTTTTAAACTTTCATTCAAAGCAGATTTTAGATTTGAAAAAATTTCTTCAATTTTTGATTTTGAATTAGCAGTAGAAATTTTAATTATTTGCTTTTTAATATCTTTGCTTTGTTCACTATTATTAATATTGCAGCTTTTAAAAATATAAGTTAAATGTTCATTTCAAGTATATTTTGATTCAATATTAGCTAAAGCTAATCCCAAACCCTTTGCTTGCCCTTGATCTAAGTCTCCAATTATACACCTTCACCCTTTATTATGTAAATAATTAAAAGATGGCTGTTCATTTGTTAATAAATTAATATGATACCATAAACTTGTAAAAATTTTGCAATATGCTTTAGCTAATACAGCATTAGTATAAACACAAGCAAATGTAATACCTAAAATTTTATATAATTAATTAGCTCAGTATAATAAACTTTAATAAATAATTTAAAATAAAAATATAACATTATTTACTCTGATTATAATCTTCACTATAATTATTAATCTCAAATTCATTTACTTCTCCATGTATTTGTTTACATGCCATATTTATTTGAAAATTATCAGTATTTTTCTAAGCAATTGCTTGTTCTTTATTCATACAAATAATTATAAATTTTTATTTTTTTTTTCTTTGATAACTGTGTACTAAAATTTTATTAAATGTATATGCTTAATACAGGACCAAGCTACTTAATAGGGAATTAGACTAAAAGCCAGCTATCTCTTAAAGATGCCCAATCTTGGTTATCGTACTGATATTGGCTACTATACCCCACATACGGTGTGCCGTATTTAAAGATATAATATAGCCGGGGCTCAGCTCCCACCTCAGGACCTCTTTTTCTTTCTAATTCTTCCTTCTTCTCAAAGAGCACGAGACAAAAGGGAGAAAAGTTTAAATCAAAAAACAAATACGAAAATGACCAAAAAAAGAAAACCAAACTAACAAAAAGAAAAAATAAACACAGATTTTGAAAAAGAAAAAATATGAAAAGAAAACTAAGACCCTAAAGGCACTATTATAACCCGTGCAAGGTTGGTAAAAATTATATAACAAATGCAAC